CCCCCCCCCCCCCCGCCCCATTATTTAAGTGGACAGAAAATGTTTACCAGAGTATTAAGCAAAAACTTTCCTAAATAAATAGAATAGAATGATTATATCAACTAATATGAGGTAATTCATGTAGGAAAGTAGATATAAAAAGCAAGGTAGTAGTAAAAGCACTAATATAAAAAGTATGACATTTATAATGACAAAATATTCTATAGGTATTAAGGGGTTACATTTTGTTCCAGTTTTGTTGAGATATGATTGACATACAACATTGTATAAGTTTAAGGTGTACAATGTAATGATTTGATATATGTATATATTGCAAAACAGTTACCACAATAAGATTAGTTAACATCTGTCACCTCACATAGTTATAATTTTTCTCCCTTGTGATGAGAACTTCTAAGATCTACTCTCTTAGCAACTTTCAAATACACAATACAGTGTTGTTAACTATAATCATCGTGTTGTAGATTACATCCCCAGAACTTATTTATCTCATAACTGGAAGTTTGTACCTTTTGACCACCTTCACCTAATTCCCCCACCCCCCACATCACCCCCTGCCTCTGGCAATCACCAATCTCGTCTCTGTTTCTATGAGTTTGGTTTTTTCTAGATTCTACATATAAGTGAGATCATACAGTATTTGTCTTTCTCTGTCTGACTTACTTCACTTAGCATATGCCCTCAAGGTCCATCCATGTTGTCACAAATGGCAAGATTTCATTCTTTTTTATGGCTGAATAATATTCCACTGTGTATATATACCACAATTTCTTTATCCATTCATCCATTGATGGACACTTAGGTGGCTTCCATATCTTGGCTGTTGCAAATAATGCTGCAGTGAACATGAGGCGCAGCTATCTTCAGGACAGTGATTTCATTCTCTTTGGATAAACATCCAGAAGTGCAATTGCTGAATCATATGATAGTTCTATTTTTAATTTTTTGAGGAACCTCCATACTATTTTACATAGCGGCTGCACTAGTTCACATTCCACCAACAGTGCACAAGAGTTCCCTTTCCTCCACATCCTCGCCAGCATTTGTTATTTATTATCTTTTTCTTGATAGGCATTATAGCAGGCATGAGGTGAGGGGATTACATTTTTAACCAAAAATATATATAAAGCATAAGTTCTAGGATCATATTGCCAATAGTGTATCATTATAATTTTTAATATTCATCTTTCTTTTTAGGAAACAACAATTAGTGACATCCCTGAATTTGAAGCATTGAACAAAATCTTGCCCTTACCAAACTCCAGGTTAGTAAAGTCAAGAAATCATCTGCATGCCTGAGTCATGGCTGCCTAACTAGTCCCGAGTTGCTGGCTTGAGGAAGCATAGCATTTTGGGGTAATTTTCTCTATATTTAGTATTTAAATCCTCTCCTAATTCCTTCTCCCCTCACCACTGTTTCACCCCTGCATCTGACAGAATCCTGACTTAAGGTAGAAAATAATCCATAAAAATAAGTTTAAAGTAAATTTTATTTGGTTTTCCTTGTGTGTGACAGTTTTAAAAAACTGAAGTCCTTTTGATGCCTTATCCCTGTAACCTCAAAGTGCTAGCACAAGATCCTTTCTGCACGAAGTCCTCACATGTGGCCTTTCTTAGTTTTTCAGAAACAGGTTTGGTAGAGTCAGTTGGAAGTCTTCAGGAGACTGAAGAGCACGAGTCAGAAGAAGCCATGGCAAACCCCAAGGCTCTCGAGCCTCTTTCATGTTCACAGAATTCCAAAGCTGGACCCATAAACGTGGCTTCTCTGAAAGAGAGACGATGTATGCAAGAACAGGACCAAAAGTCAGAACTATAAAATCAGTGGTTTCTAAAACTAGACTGATCAAAGCTGCTAGCTGACAGCTTGGATGTGAAGGTGGAACGTGACATGGAGAAGAGTCATCACAGATCCCCACTGGGCATCAACCAGGAGTCTTCAAAACTGCTGATAAATTCATTAAACCAGTTCTAAAAGTGGATTTCTCAAGTTTGTTTGATATCCTCAAATGCCTTGTATTGATCAATGTCATAACAAGTTCAATGGCTTAATTAGGTTCCTGCTCAGCAGAACACATATATGGCTAATTCAGCATACTTTACCATTATTGTGAGTAGTTTCTTATTTATTTTTTAAAAGTAAAATAAAACAAATACTTTAAAAAGGAAAAACAACACTTCCTATAATCCCACATTCTTAACACAACTATTTTCATTTTAGAGTTATTTCCTTCCGGTTCTGATTCAAATGCATGAATTTTAAATGGTTATCATACTACATATTCATTTTCATAGTCTGATTTTTAATTTAATATACCATAAAACATTTTCTCATATTTTAATAGTCTTCATAACTATTGTTTCATAGCCACCTGATATTCTATCATGTTGATGTTGTATAAATTTTCTTGTTGACATTTAACTTGTTTCTACTTTTTCACTATTTAAGATTATGCTGTAGTGAAAGTCTTTGTGAATGTAGCTCTTTTCTTCTCTTGAATTATCCTAGAAAACAAATTCACAAGATTGGGTCAAAGGATATAGATGTTATATAGTTTTGGTATGTCATTTATTGAATTACTTTAAAAAAAAAAGTTGTGCATACTGTTTCCATAGTCAAGTTATTCAACCTCTTTAGGCCTCAATTTCTTGATCCAGAAAATGGGAACAATAATAGTTCCTATCCCTTGGGGTCATGAGGACCAAATGAAATGAAGCGTGTATTTAGCACTTAGTAACTGCTTAATAAATGCTAGATATCATCATTTATTTTCACTAGCAGTTTATGAGTATACAAGTTTTTCTAAAACTCATCAATATTGGATATTATCAATTTAAAAAATTTATTCTAAAATAGTTGTTACAAAACTAAACTGAAGGGTGAGTCCTGCTGCTACATCCTCCCCTTCCTCCTTTTCCCTCCTTATTCTCTTCCTCTTCCTTCATCTTCAATTGGCGATAGGGAGACCAACGGGAGAGAGAAAGTAACCAGAGATTAAAAAAAAAAAAAGACCCCTGAAGTTGAGACAAACTGAATTTTTATGTGTAACCCTTGCTTCCTCAGACCACTGAATTAGAAAGGATGACCAAAGGATGTAGGAAATAACAGCTATGATATGGAATACATGATCTGACTCCACGCCTCGCCCAAGGTCACCTTCTCTCACTCAGTTCATTGAATCCACTGAGTCCTTACTATGTGCTATTCAATAGTAGGCACTGTAGCTACGCCTGTGAAGACAGACAGGGAGAGTATCTGCTTTCATGGAGTGCTATTAGTTTGCCAGGTATATGGATGTGTGGCAGGGGGTAAGGTGGGGACAGACAATATAATTTTGGATGTTGAGTGGCATGAAGAAAATAAACCAGTGATGTACCTGAAAGAGGGACAGAGGGCTACTTTAGATTGGGTGCAATGTTCCCAGTCTGTGTGACATCTGAGCTGAGACCTGAACTATAAGGAGCACTCCCCACCCCTATTAAGATCTAGAAGAGTATTAAAGACAATTAACAGTTGGCACCAAGGCCCTAAGAATATCCATCTCCGTGACCTCGAGGAACAGAGAGGCCAGAGTAGAGTAACTGAGGGCAGGTGACACAGGATGAGGACAGGTAGGTGGTGGGTGACAACATAATGTAGGCCTTCCTATGTAAGGAACTGGGTTTTACTTAAATAGGGGAAGCCAGGAGTGATTTATAAGCAAATTTATTTTAAAAGCTCTAGCTGCTCTGAAGAAAATGAAGTGGAGGTGACAAAAGTGGAAGCTTGTGGCAGAACTGGAACTAAAATTCTAGTATCCTGACTTCTGGGAAAGGTTGCATATTGACTGAGCAAGCCTTGTATGCCAGGCTGTTCTAAGTGCTGAGGATAAACACAGTTCGTGCCTTTGTGGGGCTCACAGACCAGTGGGCAGGCATGTGGGATGGTTCGGAGGCCTTAGCTGCAAGGGCTGATAAGGACCATGGAGATAGCTCAGTCCAAACCCCCTGGCCTGAGCAAGAATAATTTAGTGTAGCCCAGGAGCGGGATGCCAGTTAACCCTGAGCAAAAAAAAATGCCCAGGCTTTCTTCTGCCCTCTGTCCTCCACCTGCCTCTCCCCATCCTAGCCCCCCGGGAGAGTGAAGAGAGCTAACAGCTTGCGGACGTCTTTGCAGGGTGAGGAGCCCACGCCACCCACGCATCGCCCCTTTCCGGCGTGGGAGGCAGAGAGCGCTCCGCGGGGGGGAGCGGGGCGGAGCGGGGCTTCCGGGGGCGGGGCCTCGGTCAGCTCTTTCTCTGCGCCTACGTCGAGGAAGAAACCCGCAGAGCGGGGCTTAAGGTCACCGGAAGCCCGCCCTCCTGTCTTCTGCTTCCGGGTCGGAGCCATGGCGGTGGCAAATTCAAGCCCCGTCAATCCCGTGGTGTTCTTTGATGTCAGCATTGGCGGCCAGGTGAGGCATGGGCCTAGCCCTGCGCCGAAGGGAAACTGCTCGGGGCCAGGCAGGCAGATCTCATCCACCGAGGGAGGCGGAGTGGGGAAGCCAGGAAGTGAAATTGGACCACAGCCTGTCGACCTGCGGGGCGGGAGGAAGGGAGGAGGAGGAGTCGCGCCCATCCCTGCGCTCGGCTGGCGGAGGAACTGGGCGGAACGACCGGATGGGCCATGGAGGCGGCGTGGAAGAGACCAAGCGGCGTTGGGGAGGGAAGGTCAGCCCTTCGGGTGCCGCGCTCTGTGTTGGTGTGGCCTTCCCGGTCTCGGACTGGGCCTTCTGACTGTCTCCCGCTGGTTGCAGGAAGTTGGCCGCATGAAGATCGAGCTCTTTGCAGACGTTGTGCCTAAAACGGCCGAGAATTTTAGGTAAGGAGATGCTTTAGCTCTGCCGGATTAACGGAACCAGAAGCTGGGCCCCTGTCTGTGGAATCGTCTGCCCTCCGTCCGCTCACTGCCCTTGAGACCTGATTCCTCTGGGTACCACCCTGTATGTCACGGTTTTGACTGTTCCCTTGTCAGTTTATCTTGTTAATCTGTATGTCTGGACGCTGACTGGCTGGTTGGTGGGCTTGCTGGCGCCAATGTCTGTCCTCCCCTCCGGAGATTAGGGGCGCTGGCAACTGTGATGTCATGGGACTGAATCGTTCACTCTTTTCCCTTTCAGGCAGTTCTGCACTGGAGAATTCAGGTCAGTCTCAGACGTGGTTGACTTCTCTGCTTGCTCCTGAGGGGTGTCCTGGGGCCGCAGTGCGGGTATTGGGGAACTACTGGCAGGCCTGGAATGATTGCTGGTGACAGTGATAGAAGGTAATACCTCAAGGGTCCATCCTCAGTTCATTTGCCGCCTGTATCTCTTCTCCCCACCATCTTTAGGAGAGTCCCTTGGGCTCCAGTGTGTGGTAGACTGGAAAGGCCTATGATTACCTGTCATCATTCCAAGTCTCTTTCTTTTTGGTTATAGAAAAGATGGGGTTCCGATAGGATACAAAGGGAGCACCTTCCACAGGTAAGGCCTTTGGCAAACCATCGTGGGGGCTTTTAGAATGACTTCCTTGGGGGATTAGACTCTGTAGAGGAAAATAAAACCATACGATAATGATTTGAAGATTTATTAAAACCCAAAGTGATATACATTGTATTTTGAAATCACTGTTAAACTACGATGACTAAGTGAATGTTTTTCTAAACCAAAGAATCTTCTTTCAGGATCCTTTGTTCTCTGTTTCAGGGTCATAAAGGATTTCATGATTCAGGGTGGAGATTTTGTTAATGTAAGTACTGTTTCTTTCCATCAAAGACCTATAGGTTTGTTTGTTTGTTGTTCTTATTGCTGCTGCTACAGCAATAGTAAAAACTATTTTTACTACAGGGACGCAGTCTTAAGGCTTGAGAATAATAGCCAAGTTAGATGAGGGGAGGGTATGGGGAAGGGAATGTCATTTAGAGTTGCTGGCTACTGCTCACTGTACCACTAAATGATAGGCATCGGCACTTTGAATGAATCGCTAAGTTCCAAATTTCAGCCTTTTGCAGCCAGAAACTCAACTTTCCCAGCATACCTTTAGATGATCCATGACACATTCAGATTAATTAGTCACATGAAACTTAGCTAGAAATCAGATGCAATTTGTTTTTTCTAAATGCTAAGTTCCTTTCCAGAGAGCTAAATGCTTATGCACCATTTTCCCTTCCACTTCTGGTATCACAGTGCCTGGAAAGCTGAGTTTTTAATCAGAAGTGAATTAGTGGGCAAGAATCAGAGCAAGAGAGGCGATAGCTCTGGAGGGATGTTTTCTCTGTTCTCTGGGGAAGCCCAGTGGCTTAGTCCTTCTCTACTAAGGATGAGTTTCTTGTAGCTGGACTGTATGTGTTCCCCATGTCCAGCCTCCCCCCCCCCGCCCCAATCTTGGAGAGTGCCTTCTAAACCACATTTGGTTCTTTTCTAACTCTTTTGTCCCTACCCACCCACTTCTCTGCATAGCCTTTCTTATTATCATTTGGTTGGTCATGGTGCTGTTTTCTTGGATCTGGGAGACGTTCTTTCCCCTTCGTGTGTATGTTTATTTAGATGGACTCTTAGGAGTTTTTAAAGACCTCTCTCTTTCCTACATAGGTAAGGTTACAAACTGGCAGATATTAGGCCAAATCAGGCTTTTAGATGTTTTGTTTCACCTATATGATGTTGTAAAACTGGGAAATTTCACCAAAAAATTCTGGAGTTTTGTTTTTCCTCTAGAAAATGGAAAATAGGGGTGTGTTTCTCATGCAGCGACAGTTGGTTGGAATCAAGTAACTGCTCCCTTTAGACAGTATGTCCTTGCCATTTCACCACAGTCCCCACGACCTGCTTCCCTTATTTCTGTCACCTGCTCCATAGGCATTGAAGTTTGCACACAGTTGATGGTCATAGGGCTTGGAGTGACCATACACGTTTTTGTTAGGTGGTAGGAAGGGCTGAGAAGCTTTCTTTGCCTTCTTTCCTTTCTTCCCGGAGGCTCCTGTATTGCCATATTGTCTCAGCAGGGACAAAACCAACTTCTTACTAGTCATTGCCAGGCATGTCCAATCACTTGCTGATAGCCCCAGGGTTAGACAGTAGTGATCAGCCAGAAGGCTGAGTTTCAGAGAGAAGCAATTGCTCAGAGCTGCCCTTAGGGAAGAAAAAATAGAATGAGCAAGAGGCAGAAGCAGCAGGATTTGAGACCTTCTAAAGTTGGACCAAGAATGTTTGTTTGTTTTGATTTTTGTTTTTTGTTTTTTTCTGGTTGCAAAAGAAAAGTGCTAAAAAGAAAATAAATCCTCTTTCAAGGAATTTTGCCTCTCAAGGAATTATACTCTTGGCGTTTTAGTTTACAGCTGCCACTTTCCTCGTTGCATAGGTGTGTGTGTCGAATATAATTTTTAACAGACTTAAGATCATACATATGTTTTAATTTTTTTGTACTTAACAGTTGTCTACATTTCTTGTCATTAAGTCGTCTTCCAAAACATCCTTTCCAATAGTACCTAATATTCCATTAGGAATAGACAATGAATTTATGTGATCACTCCACTACCGTTGAAGATATAAGTTACTTTCTGTTGTTTCCTTTGAAAATTAATTTTGTCATTTTCCTTACTCTGGCTTCTGGAGAGCAATAAATAGTGTGGCTTTTAGAGAATGATGGAGTAACTGATTTATCTCCTAGGTTTATCGGGAAATTGGAAGTGAACTTGTTTTCTCTTCTGTCTGTCTGTCTGTGGAGTTAAAGCTAGAATAGCTCACATTTCTACAGTGCCATACTGATTCCACAGTACTTTTCTCAGACACTGTCTAACTGGATCTTCATGACAACGTGTAAAGAGTAGGTGATTCCATCCTCACTTGATAGGTGAGGAAACAGGCTCAGAGATAGGAAGGGACTTCCCCAGCTCATAAGTGATAGATCTGGAACTCAGATCCAGGTCATTCCACTATGCAGAGCTTGGTTTTATTGATAATTTTTAGTCAAATAAAGGTTTGATTGGACAGTGTTCCTTCCCTGGCTTATGTTAATCCCCTTTGGTAGCCTTTTCCCTAAAAAATGATCTTTTTTTTGAGGAAGATTAACCCTGAGCTAACATCTGCCACCAATCATCATCCTCTTTTTGCTGAGGAAGACTGGCCCTGAACTAACATCCATGCCCATCTTCCTCTACTTTATATGTGGGACGCCTACCACAGCATGGCTGTTGCCAAGCGGTGCTGTGTCCACACCCGGGATCCGAACCGGCGAACCCCAGGCCATTGAAGTGGAATGTGCGCACTTAACCGCTGCGCCACCGGGCCGACCCATAGGGGATCTTTGATTCTGCACTAGGTCAGTGTTTTCCCTTTCTGACATGCACCACGTGTTCTTTTTTACTCTCTGGCTGGGAGAAGTTGGTCTTTGGCCCCCTTCAACCCCAGGGATTCTCTTTAAGCTCCTGCAGATATGGCCTTTGTCAAATTGCTTTATTACCCTAACTTAAGTTAGGTAATAAATGAAAAATGGGGAAGATGATAATGCTTATTCCACAGGGTTGTTGGAAAAGCAAAGAGATAATGCAAAGAAAGCTAGTTTAAGCAGAAATTGGGGATCTATATAAGGTGTTTCATGGAACCCAAAGTGAGAAGTAGAACTAGGAACTGGAAGGCAACACAGAACCAAGGTAGGCCTTTCTCCCTGTTCCTCTAGTGCTCTCTGCGCACGTGTGTTGCATCCTCTTTGTGTTCTCCAGTCCACCTGTGGAAGGTTTTCAGCTCCAGCTTCCAGGTTTACATGATACAAGTTCAACCTCAAAGCGAACATCTGTCCTGCTTCATGATTCCCAGAGAAGGAAGTCTGGTTGGCCCTACATGAGTTAGGCGCTCTCCCTGGACCAGTCACCTTTGGCCAGGAGGGTGGCCTCATGTTGTACAGACTAGACTTCCAAGAGCCCACTCACCCGCATAGTTTGGGGGAGTCACGCAGTAAGCAGTAAGTGGGTGCTTTGCTAGGACTGCAGGTCTAAGAGTGTTTGGGAATGGCAAGCATTATGTATATGATGACTTTACCATTGTTCCCTACTCTGCCTGTGTCTTAACCTGTCTTTCTAGAGGCCCAGCTGTGACCTGTTTTACCCAATTTGTGAGATGCCCTGGCCATTTTGTGGGCTGCAGGTGCCTTGCTTGGGGTTTGCTGTGATTGCAGGACAGGGTCAGAGAGGTGTGGCTCCCAACGTGACCTGTAAGAGTAAAAGCAGCTTTAGAAGCCAGGCTTTCGGTGCAGCAGCATCCTTGCCCTGGGCTTCAGGGCGCCGAGCACTCGCAAGTTACTAACACTTGTCTTCTCTCTGCTCAGGGAGATGGTACTGGAGTCGCCAGTATTTACCGGGGGCCATTTGCAGATGAAAATTTTAAACTTAGACACTCAGCTCCAGGCCTGCTTTCCATGGTAAGTGAAGTCCAATGAAGGTTTTGGGTTGGATTTATAGCCAGCTGGTATTTGAGCCCCTCCTGAGGCCCAGTGCTATCTCTTGGGATGGAAGCAAACACTGTCCTTCTCTTGCTTGGCCCAGGGCTCACCTCTGCCATGCCCACCTCCTTCCTCAGTCTGGTTTGATTTTGTTGGGCTGAGCCCACCAGCAGGCTTTGGAACCAGAATCGAACTCCAATGTGTGCTTTCTTACTTTTGTTTGAGCCAGGACATGTGGCTAGGCTTTCAGCCTTGCTGCTCAGAATTTAGCTGGTTGTGCTTTCAAGCCCCACTGTTCACTCGCTCGTCACTCCACTCACCAGGGCTCACACAGCGCCCATTCACTCACACTGCCTTCTGGCTGGTCACCTCCTTTTCCTCCTTACCACTCCTTGCTCACCAACCCCCCCCCATTTATAACCCCACTCACATGTCTCCCTTTCACTGTCCCCCCACCTGCCTCACTTAAACCCCCTCATCTCCCCACCCCTGCTCACTCTCCTCCGTGCTCACTCCCTCTTCACTTCCCCTTATTCTCCCCTCACTCATTTTCCCTTACCCCTCCCCGCTTGCCTCCCTGTCACTCTCCAACCCTCTCCCTCCCTCCCCCATTCACCCATTTCCCTCTGTCAGTGCCCCAACTCCCACTCCCCGAGACCCAACATTTACATGCACATTCTCTGTCCTGTTTGCCCACTCTTCCAGTCATCTGCTCAGGCGTTCATCAAGTAAAGATTTGTTGACACCCACACTGTTTCAGGCCTCATGAGAAGGCATCAGGATACAGACCTTATCCCTGCCCTCCTGACACTTAACATCCAATGGGGGAATCACACGTGCAAAATGACACACCCAGTACTTGTGTAACTCATGCCATCACTGTATGCGGGTGAGGGCACCTCAGTATGTACAAGTATTCTGAAGGCCCCGAAGAATGAGGATAATTGCTGCCAGGAGCCAGGCAGGGCTTCACAGCAGAGGGGACATCGGAGTTCTTGAAGGAGTTCTCTACCAAATGACATTTCAAGTTGAGCAACAGCCCATGCAGAAGTATGTGACCATGGAATAGCAGGGTGGCATAGAAGGAACAGAGGGTGACGGGGGTGATGAAAACGTAAGATGTGAGTGGGGGAGGGAATGGCCAGGAGAGACAACTGGAGAGGCAGGTGGCTCTAGCTCCTGAAGGACTTCAAATGCCAGAATAAGGCTGAGGTGTGTGGACGTTGTGTCATAGGTTACGGAGAGCCATCCACTTTCTTAAGCAGAGTTGATCAACTTCATGTTTTTGGCCACAGCGTGAGTGGCAGATGGGACTGAGCGCTGGGGTGGAGGAGCCCGTTCGGAGGCTGCCTCAGCAGTGGGCGAGGCGAGCACAGCAAGCGGTGTGCAAGCCCCTTTGCGGAAAGCCAGGCGGGGCGAGTGCCGGCAGAGGGTGCGGAGCAGCTTAGGTGGGCGCGGATCTTCGCCCCGAGGAGTGGAACCCCTCTAGTGCATGCCACTGTGTTAGCATCTGTGGAGGAGTCAGTGACACCGAAGGAAGCCTTGGTCTCCCCTCCTTCAGGCCGACCCTGGTTGAGTTGTGCTGTCACATATCTTGTAACAATTGTTTTTGCTTCTATCCTCCACTAAATCATGAGTTCCTCGAGGGCAGGCACTGGGTCTCATTGACCTCCAGGCCTTACTACTGGACCCAGAAAGGAGCTGAGCAGATGCTGATGAGTGACTGAAAGATAGCCAGAACCATGGCTAACATTTATTGAGCACTTACTCAACGAGCACCTTATCTGCATTAATTCATTTTAATCCAACATCCCTTTGGGATAGGTACAAATGAGGAAACGGAGGCACAGAGAGGTTATGTGACTAAACTAAGGTCACACAGCAAGTTGTGGAGCTAGGATTCAAGCTAAGTTATCTGTCTCCAGGGCTCCAGAGCTTATTCTCTAAACCAGTAAGCTCTACTGCCTGGAAGAATGAATAAATGAGTGCCTAAGGACAGGGAGTGTCTCCTGAACTATAAAAACACGTTATCTGACTGTTTTCCTGCCTGCTTGCTAATAAATGTTTATACATTGAGCAGCAAGATAGGAAGGAAGGAAGGGAAGGAGGGATGGAGGAAGGATAAGAGGAAGAAAGGAATTGGGACCCTTGGGAGGTCTATCCCTTGTTCCAAAGCACAGGCCCACTCTGACCGGCTCAGGCAGTCCCTTACTTTCATATCTGAAATGTTCCTGAAGAAATGTACAAAAACCAAAAACAGCTTCACCTTACATAGGGAGTTTCTAAAGTATAACATAAAATCTCTAATTAGAGCTTACCTCCTGACAATATCTTTAAAGTATTTCATACATGTTTTTATTCCTTCACAGTTGAACACAGATTCAGTCAATTTAAATCTATTAAGCATCCAATTAAGGCTAGTGACCTATCTAATAATTTCCAGTTTTGCCTCAGTGGTATTAATTTTATGAGACCTGTGGTTTTAATAGGACTAGTACTTTTAGTTTTCCATTTTCTACCCATTTTTTCCCTAAAACAAGGGAAGTATACAACAAAATATTCACATAGTTCCACAGACACTATTGTGAGGCACTGCTGGTGAAACTGACTTGGGTTTGCTGATGCACGAATGTCTAATTTCAGCATTTTAAAGTGGTTTGGGGTATCAGTGGATAATGTACAGAAGTATACTTTGTATGAAAATCAAACGCCTTTTTACAAAGTATCACTGCATTGGCATTATAGCCTGTTTTTATAGTGCATTATTTAATGATGTGAAAACAGTTTCAAGGGAGGAAAAGGGAAGGCATATAGCTAGAGAGTTTCAGATTTTCTATTAAAAAAATACTTTTTTCCTGTAAAATTCAACAATAAAGGGTTTGAGGTGTAGCTATAAAAAGAAAACATTGATTGAATTAGTCCTTTTTTTCTAGCGTAGTGCTAGCATAACAACTGCTTTCACCTTAAATTTTTTTTTTTTTGAGGAAGATTAGCCCTGAGCTAACTGCTGCCAATTCTCCTCTCTTTGTTGAGGAAGACCGGTCCTGAGCTAACGTCCATGCCCATCTTCCTCTACTTTATATGTGGGATACCTGCCACAGCATGGCTTGCCAAGCGGCGCCACGTCCGCACCAGGGATCTGAATCAGTGAACCCTGGGCCGCCCAAGTGGAACATGCACACTTAACCACTGCACCACTGGGCCGGCCCTCACCTTCTTAAATGTTTTTAACTGCCATTATTATGATACAGTGCAAAGCTATTCAGACAAAACAGCTTATGGCATAGGCAACAGGCTTTTGCTCAGCTGGTAGCTAATTTCTAACTGTAATCCAGTTATAAACAGTATTGGGCTAAATACAGCAAAGCAGGCCCCATCAACAATTGTTCTCATAAAAATTCACATTGTAGGAGAGATGTATGTTTGTTCAAGGATCCAGCTCCTTGAGGGCAGAGATTGTGTGTCCTGTTCATCTCTGTGCCCTTAGATTGTAGCTTAGGCCTTGGCTCATGATAGATGCTCAGTAAGATTCGCTGGAAGAAAGCATGGAGGAATCTTTCGGGAATCTTGCCCTCCAGCTAGCATGACCAAGAAAACTCACCGCACGTGTATTTGGTTTCCGTCAGGCCAACAGTGGTCCCAGCACAAATGGCTGCCAGTTCTTCATCACCTGCTCTAAGTGTGATTGGCTGGATGGGAAGCACGTAGTGTTTGGTGAGTCCTGCTCCTGTCCCACAGTCCAGGCCCCCTTCACCTGGAGTGGGACATCCAGAGGAGCCAGTCCCAGAACTCTCATACCAAGAGTGCTCAACTGACGTAACTGGGTAACAGTAGGGATGGTGAACGTGGTGGGAGGTGGGGAACGTGTGTGGTTAGAGAACTGGAGGAAAGGACGAAGGGGCCATGTGATGTAGTGTGTAACCACCTGGGTAATAAGTATGTCTGGGGGAAACCTGGATGGTAGCACTGAAGAAATTCTTCACAAAGGCCCGTGGTACAGTGGGGCTTTGCAATCTCTCAGCCCTGGGTTTGAGCCCTAACTCTGCTGTTTACTACCTGTGACCTTGGGCAAGTCATTTCACTTCCACTGAATCTGAATTTCCTGACATTGGTACAAGGATCAAATGGGATGATGACTAAGATTGGGCATTGGAAGTTAGAAAATGCTCTGCAAATGAGACTGGTAAAGTCCAGTTCATACTCTTCCCGCAGGGAAAATCATTGATGGACTTCTGGTGATGAGAAAGATTGAGGTGAGTCCTGTTTTCATTTTCTCTTTCGCAGCCTTCTGGTCTAGTACTACCTGACTAGTGTCCAGGCGCCAGAGAACCATGAGCGGGCTCCAGTTTGTTAGGCCCAGTCTTCTTTGCCTCCAGTGACATGGCCTCCCTCAGGAAAAGGGAGGAGAGACCACATGCCTCCCACGTTTTCCTTGCCTGCAAGTCAGGCTCTCTAGGACACACTGAGGCGTGGCCTCTGGTGGCCCCTTCACCTACCTGATAAAATCCCACTCTGCATGGCACTGAGGATCCTTCGTGACCGAGTCCCTGTCTGCCTCTCCACGGCCCCTTTTGCCACTATCTCCTCCACCTTCCAGTCGCATCAGGCTGCTAGCTCTTCTCTAACTATGCCACCCATGTCCCACTTCTTGCTCCTTCGGCCCCTGAGCCTTGGCTCGTGCTTTTTCCTCTGCCCGGAATGCTCTTCTCCTTTCTTTTCCTCTTGGTGGCCCATTCATCTTGGCAGGCCCAGCTCAAGCAATCCCGTTCCGTGACTCCTTCCCTGACCTCAAAGCAGCAGATTAGTTGCCTCCTGTATGCGCTCTTTCTTATAACGCATTACATTGTTACACATCGCAGTTTTGATATTTTTAAGTGTTGTACATTTTCTCTTTGATCTGTCTTATGTGCTTTACCTGTCTGCTAGGACATGGACTGTTGTCACATCAGTCTGAGTCCTCAGTCCTTAGCACAGGGGCCGGCAGGCATTAGTAGATGTTCGGTGAGTGTGTGTCTGAGTGGATGAATCTCCATGGTGCTTTCTCTCCTAGAATGTTCCCACAGGCCCCAACAATAAGCCCAAGCTGCCTGTGGTGATCTCACAGTGTGGGGAGATGTAGTCCAGCGCGAGACCGGATCAGGTAAGCGTGTCTTTCTCTCCTAGTTCAGAGTCAGACCCCAGAGAAGGCAGCACGGTGTAGTGGAAAGAACTTTCGGCTTGAAGTCATGGGATTGAGCCCATTCCGTCTCTTTGTGACTTTGGAGAAGTCAGTTCCCTTCTCTGAGCCTGTTTCTTCATCTGTCAGATGGGGATAATACTTATTTCCTAAAGTCATCATAAGGATCAAAAGAAAAAGGGTGATTAGGGCCCTTTACTTTCTGCCACTTTGTAGTTTACACAGTAGCCACCTGAAAACCATCAGGAGTTTCTGACAGCATTCTCGGACTGCAAGTCCACGCAGTAGTCCCCTCCAGCCCTGGGGACTTCCTGCTGGGACCAGCTTGGGCAGCCAGGAGACACACCTGTCAGCCTCTCGTCAGAACGGACGCTGCCATTCAGGTCCTGACTTTGTATTTGCCAGCCTGGTAGGTGCATGTGACACATTTCTCAACCTGCGTAGACTCCCTTCCTGCCCACGTTTGCCACTGCTGGCTCTGTGCTGTGCATCACTCGAGGCACAGAGACGGGGGCAAAGATCTGAGAGAGGCCTGTGCTTTTCAGGAGCTTATGGGAAAGATGACACGTTCTCAGAGTGATCACTAGTAATATAAGTGACAGTGTTAACCGTTATGAATTCAAGGGAAAAATTGATCTCTTCCAGCTAGGTGAGGGAGGGGGTTGGTGTTTTGCCTGCCTGCCTTTTTTTTTTCCCCCAAACCTGCATAAAAGTTGGAAGCATAGTACATTAAACCCACATATATCTTTCACCTAGATTCACCAATGATTAACTTCTTGTTTTATCATTTTACTTTGACATGTTTTTTTCTTTCCCTTCTTCCCTCTCCTCCCATTCCATCCCTTCTCCCCCTCTCTCCTGCTTTCCTTCCTCCCTCCCTGCTGCTTTCCTTCCCTCCGTCCCTTCCCCATTTGAAGGTTGAAGACTTCTTGACACTTTACCCCTAAATACTTCAGCAAGCGACTCCTAAAAATAAAAACGTCCTACATAACCACCACGATATTATCTAATAAACACGTTCAGACTTCCCCAGTTGTCCACAAAGTAACCATTACAGCTCTTAAAGTGCTGTAAACACGGTTCACATATTTCATTTGCTAGTTTATTTTTGATTACAAAAGTAACATAATATAATCTGGTGAAAATTTTCAGACAAAACAGTTAAAGTCGCCCCCTTGCTCCCCCTTCCCTCCCCTCTGTCCACAGGTAACTTCTTTATTGGTTTGATGTATGGCTGTCAGGGCTTCTCTTTGCCTCTCTTTTGGGGAGGTTTTGTTTTTCCTGAATGGCATCATACTATGTTAGTCATCATTTTTTCTCCCATTTTGCATTATGTCTTGAAGACTTTCCTTCCTCTATTCATGTAAAATGACCTCATATTTTTTAAAAAACTGATATGTGATGTTTGTAATGATTTGAATAGTTACACACTGAGTGTCAGTTGCTTTATACCTTGTGACTATATTCTCCAGAATATATATTTTTTTAAAAATTGGCAGTGTGTTGCTTATCTTAACTTTGGTGATATCCTTTGTTGAACAGAAGTTTTAAATTTTGATGAGGTCAAAATTATCAGTCTTTTCCCTTATGACTTTTGTGTTGTCATGTTTAAGAAGGTCCTTACTACCTCAGAGCATAATGCCTTCTGTATTTTTCTAATATTTCTATAGTTTATTTGTATACTTACAAAATTGTCTAGAATTTATTTTTCTGTACTCTGTCTTTTTTTCCAAATGGAGAGCTAGTCAAATACCAGACCATTTTAATGACTGTACATACCTCTATCTGTGACTGACTTCGTGTTCACGACATCTGGCACTTATAGGCGTTCAGTGTAAATTTAATACATGAGTTAATTGAGAGGGAGAATGTCAGGCATTTTAGGCAGGGAACTGGTGTGAGCAAATGCTGAGGCAGGAATGCACAAGTGTGTGCTGGAAGTTGCACATGGCCCTTTCTCTCGTCCAGCCAGATGGTCCCATGTCAGGCCGAGTTGACACCCTGAGCTTTCCTTTCTGCCAGGACTGGAGGCCCCTGGGGCGACCTGCTCTCCTCCCTCTCTCACTCACTTCTTTGCTGTAACTAAAGTTGAGCTCATGGGTCCTTTTCCTTCTAAAGATTGACCACTGATCACTACTAGAGGACAGAAGATAATAAAAAAGAATGAAGTTTAGAAATTTTTTGTTTGGGGCCTCTGTTCTGTGTTTTTCTTTCCTTACAGAAAGTTACTGGAAATCCTTATTGAGGGTTTGATTTCTGAGGCTGGCGATCATCAACCCTCCCCTACTCACCCACTAGCAAAGGTCATGTAAACCTGTGCCCTCCCATGAAAGCCCCTCTTCTCAGACTGCAGCCCAAGCAGAACAGATGCCCCAGGGGCCGTTTGACCTTCCAGAGGCCCTCTAGTCCAGGACTGTCCAGTAGTCAGTCCTTTCTGTGATGGTGGAAATGTTCTACATCTGTGCTGTCCAATATGGTAGCTTCCAGCCACGTGTGACAATTGAACACTTGAAATGTGGCTGGTGACTAAAGGACCGAATTTTTTATTTAATTTTAATTAAATTTAAAGAGCCACATGTGGTACCTCCAATTACTCTCCAAACACTGACTCAGAATTGAATCTCTCATAAGCTAATACATAGGGACAATATACTATAAGCACTTATTTATTGAATGTTTCTTGTGCTCAAATATTAAGCTGAGAACTTTACTTGAATTACCTCGTTTAACTTTACCAAAAATCTCTATCATAGGTTTTAAGGTCTTAGGGAATCTAGATGGCAGTCTGACCCCAAGGGGTTCCACAGATGGGTGCCCCGCTTTGGGTTTCCGAGTACTGTGATTTGGGAGGAAGTAAGGAAAAGAGTAGATTCATTCCTCTGGGGAGCAGGAGAATTTGTCATCATTTTTCTTCCCACCTATAAAGTTACACGCATCTCTAATTCTTATAGGAGCATTTCAGATCCCTCAGGTTGTTTGGGGCAGAGCAATGGTTGACGGCCACTACAGAAGATGTTTTCAAGCCCTATTGGGCAGTAGTTCTCAAACAATAATGTGCATGTGAATCACCAGGAGAAGGTGTTAAAATGCAGGTTCTGATTCAGTGGGTCTGGATTTGGGGCCTGAGATTTTGCATTTCTAACCAGCTGGCAGGTGATGCTGATGCTGATTTTGAGTGGCAAGGCTAGAGAGAATAACACAGGCTGTCTTTTAATTGAGAACCTGCCATATTCCAACCGGAAAAGACCCAGGATCAGATCATCTCTTGGTGGCACTGGTCCAGCAGGAATCTACTGCATTCAATCAAGAACCCACCTGATCATGCACTTGAGGCCTTGCTCCTAGGCACTGGAAACATAACAGGAAGGAGACAGAACACCGGTGGGGTCACTTGATCAACTGTACCTCCCTATGAAGCACTTTCTTCCCTAACTCTTTTGTGTTTTGCCTTAGGTCCTGACTTTGGTTTTAGTGAAGACGAGTTATTTCTACAGCTCTAGATGTAGAAACCTTGTTTTTATCTCAGTGGGTCCTATGAAAGTTTTTTTAGGATGAATTTGGTTAGGTGTAGGTAAATACACCTTGGCCCTTAGGATTCTCCTGCCATAGTCTGAACTGGATTCTTTGCTACCTACAACCACCCGGGGGCTGGTGGAACCTCTCTTTTGAAAGTCTCTTTGAGAGCCTCTTTGAAGAGCTCTGGCAGCCCCGCTAGTCTGAATTGCTGCTCCTCTCTGTGATCCCCAAATCTGGTACCTGTCTCAAGTAGACAAGAGCTTTCTTTTGTTCATTGTTTCCCACATTTCCCTGAAGATAAGAATCACCTGGGACACTTGTTAAACCTGCTAATTCTGAGATCCCTCCCCTGGAGAGTTTGAGTGAGTTTGAGGTAGGACCTAAGATGCCGTTTGCAAGAAGCATCTGAGATGCTTCCTATTAGAGAAGTGTAGGTAACCAGCCCCATTTCAAGTGTTCAATTGTCACACGTGGCTGGAAGCTACCATATTGGACAGCACAGATGTAGAACATTTCCACCATCACAGAAAGGACTGACTACTGGACAGTCCTGGACTAGAGGGCCTCTGGAAGGTCAAACGGCCCCTGTGGCATCTGTTCTGCTTGGGCTGCAGTCTGAGAAGAGGGGCTTTCATGGGAGGGCACAGGTTTACATGACCTTTGCTAGTGGGTGAGTAGGGGAGGGTTGATGATCGCCACCCTCAGAAATCAAACCCTCAATAAGGATTTCCAGCCTTAGGTGGTGCTGGGATGAATATCTTTTATTTTAACGTTTTCATCTTAAGAGCAAATAAATAACAACACATAATTTTACAGTTGTTATAGCTTACAGTGAGGTATTATTGAAGTTCAAATAGTGATTAGGTTAAAAATTGTGCCTGGATGGTGGATCTCTTAACAGTTGTGAAGGTGCTATTGGAATGACTGAGGTTTAGGAAACACTGTCCCCTGTTCTGGCATCACCTGTAGATGTGATACATTCCTGTAGAGGAAGATTATGAAAGATATGTTGGTGGCACATGGGCCCGTCTTTCATTCATTCCACAACTAAGCACTAGTAATTAAGATAGGTCCCATGCTGCGTATGAGGCTACAAATTGGAAAAGCCCAGTTTCTCCCTTCGAAGAACTCAGTCTTTGGGGGAAACTGACAGCTACAGTACCATAAAGCACTGGACTGGAGGTTTTTGGACAAAGCAAGGAAAGCCTGATTTCCTGTGTCAGCCTGGTGTGGTTTGGGAAGACTGCGGGAGAGAGGATGCTTCAGCTGAGTAGAAAGAATAAAACTTAGTAGGTGGCTAAAAGTGGGGAGGGCATTCCAGACAGAACAGCACGAGCAAAGGCACAAAAGGAAGAAACAGCAGGAATTGTAAAGGAAACTGCAAATAATCCCATATGGCCAAAGCAAGAGGGTATAAAAAGCAACAGGTAAGAGGTGAGGCTGGAGGGGGCCAGGGCCAGGTGTGAGAAGCAGTGCAGGCTGAGGAGTTCATATGTTATCTTTTTTTTTTTTTTTTAAGCATTGGCACCTGGGCTAACAACTGTTGCCAATCTTTTTTTCTTTTTTTTTTTTTTCCTGCTTTATCTCCCCAAACCGCCCCCCCCCCCCCCGCACACAGTTGTATATCTTAGTCGCCTGTCCTTCTAGTTGTGGGATGTGGGACGCCGGCCTCAACGTGGCCTGATGAGCGGTGCCATGTCCGAGCCCAGGATCCGAACCCTGGGCCGCCGCAGCGAAGCACGCGAACTTAACCACTCGGCCACGGAGCCGGCCCCTATATGTTATCTTGAGGTTAGGCATGGGCCTCAGGCAGTATGTCCATTTCCCGCCCTGGGGCGAGAGTCCATTGTGCTCCTGGGATTCTCGAAAGGGGGCCTCGCCCTCGAAAAAGAACCAGGCAAGTAGGAGCCACTGAAGGACTTGGAGCAAGAGAATATTGTGATGGAATTTTCTTATTCAGAAGATGATTCTGGCAGCAATGTGGAGGAGGGTTTGGAGGCCAGTGAGGTGTCCAGTGCAGCAGTCCAGGCAAGAGGAAAGAGGTTCCACCGAGATTGGCAGCAAATATTTGCGTGCCTGCTGGGCGTGTGACATTGTTTGTTCCCTGCCCTCAAACTCGGAAGCCATGCAAGCCAGAAAGGGAGGTGGTGGGGGAGAATGTCTGGCTTCATTCCAGTACAATCTAGTACAAAGGCAAAGCTCCTGGTGGTGTAACCAGGTCTTACACATGGAGGTACATCGTGTCAGTGGAATACTATATGGCCTTAAAAAGAATGAAGTAGATCTGTCTGTGCTGGCAAGATCTCCAAGGTAAATCAAGTGACAAAGTCAAGATGTAGTATGTTATGTAAGCACGATATTATTTATTTTCAATAACTATTTTAGAAATTACTGTAGTTCTATATAGCCAACTGTTAATAATGGTTACCTCTGTGGAGTAGAGATTGCAAAGAGACTTTCTTTTCGGTTTATATTGTCTTGTATATGCTTGAATTCTCTCCATTGAGCATGTATCTTATAACAGAAATACATACTGTATATATATAGCTTTAATTAGTCCTGGTTCCCTCCCAGCCTCTCTGAGGAGCATGTGGCAAACATCAGTTTTGAATCATTTCCCAGTCCCTCTATCTCCTCCTCCCAGGTCTAGGCACAGTTAGCAGTCCCTCCTGGGTGCTCCCACAGAACTTGGTTCATCTCTCTATGAGAGCATCTAACAGTGTGTCACAAATGTGTGGGTCTGGTTTTCTCTAGACCGAGAACTCCTTGAGGCAGGGACCATGCTGACTGTCACAGTGCCTGGTCTATGAGCTTAAGTCCTGGACCATGCAACTTATAAAGTGCATTTATACGTTTTTATACATTCTGCTTGAGGGCCCAGGGTTAAGCTTCTGTCTGAGCCTGCAGTATGACACTAGGACGCACTGTCCTCTGGAGGAAGGGTGTGGCCACATTTGCGGGGAGGGGGACAGCAGTATCTGAGTGTACTCACCCTGTTCTTTTAATACAGCTGACTCCAAGGCCATAAACAGAGGGTGTGGACTTTCCCTTCTCTGTAACCCTAGGATCAAAACCTGCAAGGAAGAAGGATTGCTCTTTGTTCTAGAGCTCCATGGAGAGCCCTCTTAAGGTCTGGCAAAAAGCACCCATACCTTGGAGCCAAACAGACCAGGAAGTCCCATCATTGTCAAGCCATTAAGTCCCTCGGGACCCTGATTTTCTCCTTTGCATAATTACAGATACTATACACTACACAGAGTTGTGAAGGGTAAAGAATAAATGAGACAATATACTTAGCCATAAATGTTAGTTTCTTTCTTCTTGGTTCTTGTGTCATATACCTCAGCTTTGCTGTGGGCAACTAAAAGTCTGGCCTGTGGCAAGAATCAGACTGACTCTGCTCTTTTGGGAAAAGAAGATGAGGAAGGTAGAGGATAGCAGTGTTGTCTCTCCAGGACTGTCCCCTTCTAGTTCCTCTGAGCTAATTATCTCTTCCATCTCTCACTGACTTCCCCGTCTCTGCCATTGTAGGCCTTCCCTTCTCTGGGTGATGCTCTTGAGTAAGATAATCTGGATTGGCCCCTGTGTTTACTTCTGTGCCTGCTGCTGCCCTATTTGATCCAGAGACTCGAAGTATCACAGATACAGAACACAAGATTTTCTGTTTAAGTTTTCAACTGTAAATAAAGTTTGTTTTTTGTTTTTGTATGTGTGTTATTTTTAAATGGTTGTAATGATAGCCCCATCTCCTCACACCTTAGCTTCGGCTGGGAGGACTGGTTCTCCCCGGAGGCCGGCACAGACCAGAGCAAGGCCCTGCTATGTATTGGCGATGCCTCAGGTTTGAAGCAGTTGTAGCAGTCCCCTCTCAGGTGCAGCTGATTGGGCAAAGAAGTAGAAGCCCCGGGGTCACAGTACACTGTTTATTCCAAGGATGTTCCCATTAGGGTCAGTTTGGTTGGTTCTGGAGCCTGGGGGAAAAGGGTCACTAACTTGGGATATTGTGAGACCATTTGGTAGAATGTGTCTTGCTCATGATGCAGTGGGAATAGTTTAGTTAAAAATCTTGGTGTGAATCTGGGGTCATTTTAAACAGTTGGGGTCTTGAGAAGTTCACTTCCCCTTTCAGAGCCCCAGTTCCTCATCTATAAAACGGGGATAATAGTACCTGTCTACTTCATAGCATTGTTGGAAGAGTCAAATAAGAGTGTAAATGAAGGGAACTTGTAAACAGTAACATGCCTTGGGGAAAATGCTTGTTTTGAAAGGAAATAGCCCAACATAAAGTGATCCCACTGAGTATAATGTTTAAGAGGTAAAGAGAGTTCCCTGGTGTTTTTTTCATGAGGACATTTCTGTGTTATCCTATTTCTACTTTCTTTTCCTGACTCACGGACAGGGATGACTCATAACTACTGGCAGCAGGCTACTGCAGCAGCAGAGGGAGCAGAGAGCTAAGTTATATGACAGAATGGACCCGGTTACAGTGCCATTTCAGTGTACTGGGGGAAAGGGAGATGGTAACATATACAAGGGCCCTACAATATAGGTAATTGCAACTCTCTGTAGCTAAGCAAACCAGGTTCAGGGGACAGTGAAGACAGGACTGATCTACTGGAGGAGAGATCTTCAAGTAACTAGACAGGGTGGAATTATAAAGATAGGAAGGAGGAGGAGCAGCTAGGGTCCTGAGCTGACGTTCTTGTGATGGGCCATTTAATTGAATTCAGTTACACTTGTCACCTGTATTCCATGCCAGTCTCTATCGTGGTTACTGGAGCTGCAATGATGAGTAAGATGTGGTCCATGCTTGTGACAGGAGATAGGCACAGTTTCGATTCAATGTGGTGAGTATTAGAATGTGAGCCCTTATGAGGGCAGGAAATTTTTTTTTTCCTGCTGTGTCCCCAGCACCTAGAAGAGCTAAGCATCCAGTACCTACCTGGTAAGTGCCCAATAAATATTTGTTGCCTGAATGATAGTGGTATGTAGAAGATGCTACGGGAGTAGAGTGGAGAGACCAGGTGAGAGGAAGAAGTAACATCTGAGGTGAGTATTGGCAGCTCGGTTGGAATTGGCCAGGAGATAGGGTGGGGAGGGCTTTCCAGGAAGACGGAACTATGTTCTTGGGCAGAGTCTGTTAGAGATGGGGCACAAGGTGAAAGTTATTTTGCAAAGGAGATTCTTGGAATGAACCTCCTTGCCTTTCACCATCACTTAAAGGTAGGCCCTGGAGTTGTCTGAACTGTGGTCACCGAGCTGGGCAGCGTGAGCTCTCAGGGTGGCAGGGGACTAGCAGGACTGTGGAGTGGAGAGCTCCCGCCTTGGAACAGGAGATGAATTTTGACATGAACGGTTTATCCTCCAGTGCCTCAGTTCCATCACTGCAGTGGAACAGAGGTGGCTACAAGGAAACTAATTTCTTAAATAGCTCATCTTCACGCTCATTGAGCATGAGCAGAGAGCTTAGTGAAGTAATTGGATGAGTAGGTAATGATACTTTTAAGTAACATTTTAAAGACAAACGTTACAGAATTTATATTTCTGCTTGGGAAGCCGTCCCTTCAGAGCAGTTAGGGAAGGTTGCTCACTTACTCACAGAGCTGCTGCTGCCATTGTTCTCTCTGTCTTTGTAACTCCACTTTGGGAAAAAGCTCTCAAGCCTATAGGGCACATGTTTAAATGTCCTCAGTGTTGGCAGAACTGCCTTTTGAGGAAACATTTCCTTTTTAACAGTCAAAAGTCATTTGGAGCTGGAAGAGATGAACAGCAGCTCTAGAATCCACCTCCTTCTCTCCATACACATTGTTGCTGCTAGCGTTTCTCACTCGGATTACTGGTGCAGCTGCCCAGAAGACCTCTCTGCTGCCAGTACCTTCTTATCCAATCCATTTTCTACACCACGTCATTCATGTAACAAGTGTATTAAGAGATTGTGTGTCAGGTACTATGCTAGATGCTCCAGGAACTCATAGTCTGGCAGGGAAGAATTAGTGCAATACAGTGTGTTTGGATAGGAAAGTCTCCTAGGAACAACTGAGGCAGCACCTGAAGGATGAAGAGGTAAGCGGGAGAAGGGAGAAAGGAAGAGTTACAAGTAGAGAGAGTAGTATGTGATAGCCCAAAGAAAGCAACGGCTAAAAGATCACCTGGAAGGTTGGGTAGGGAATGTGAAAGGAGAGTGGGAGATGAGTGTAGAGAAGTCACAGTCAGGTAAAGCACTTTAAGGAATTTGGACAATCCTAAGGGTAGTGGTAGTCACGGAAAGATCTTAAGGAAGACAGTGTCATGATCAGATGTTTTCAAAAGAACATTCCGGATATTATGGAGTGGGAATATTAGAGTAAGAGGTAGACAGAGTGGCTAGGCGGCCACAGCAAACTACGGTTGGCAGGCCAGATCTCACTCCCTGCTTTTCAATGGCTCGAGAACTAGGAATAAGAATGGTTTCTAGGGTCAGCCCAGTGGCATAATGGTTAAGTTTGCACATTCTGCTTCGGCGGCCTGGGGTTCGCTGGTTTGGATCCTGGGTGTGGACCTACACACCACTTGTCCAGCCATGCTGTGGCAGGTGTCCCACATATAAAGTAGAGGAAGATGGGCATGGATGTTAGCTCAGGACTAATCTTCCTCAAAAAAAAAAAAAAAGGTTTCTAAATGTTTAAATAGTTGAGAAAAATCTGAAGAAGAGTATTTTGTGACATGTAAAAATCAAATTTTGGCAACCATAAATAAAGGTTTTTGGAACACAGATGCACTTGTTTACTGATTGTCTGTGGCTGCTTTCGGGCTCTAAAGTTGAGTAGCTGAGAGAATCACCTGGCCTGCAAAGCTGAAAATGTTTGCTCTCTAGCCCTTACAGAGAAGGTGTGCTCTAAGCCCTAGATGGCGATGGCCCACACCGGAGTAGTGGCAGTGGGAATGAAGAGACTCTGGCTTGGCATTTAGAGCTTGTTAGGACTGATTCAGAGCGCATTTAGGAGGTGCAACTGACAGGCGTAGATGACGCTGATGGGGTAAGGACTACTGCACCAGCCTCCTAACTGCTTCCCCTACTTCTGTTTTTGCGGCTCTACATACAACCCATTCTCCACTGAATAGCCATTTAAAAAAAAAGATCATGCCACTCCCTACTTACAACTAAAATTAGCCTTCTCACTATTGCCCTTAGGATAAATTTCAAATAAAATGTTCCTCATCTGACCCTGCCTACCTCTATAATCCAGTGTCTTCATTCTAGTCTTACTGGATTACTTTACTTGCATTTCCCATCTCATCCTGCCTTTAGGCCACTGCATAAACCTCCATGTGCCGGGAGTCAGCACTCCGCCTTCTGCCCACCTCCACTCCCAAAACGCTTTGTGCTTTTGCAGCGGTGGAGTGTTTGGAATGTGGGGTTTTTAAATTTCTGCCTTCATTTCTAGACTGGATTTAAGAAAGCAGAAACTGACTGGTGAACTAGCCTGCCCCAGCAGTTAGGAGAGCTTAAGAAAGACGAATGAAGGTGGAGGACTTCAGCTACATCAGGTGGCAGCCTCAATTATAAATCGTTTTTGAAACGTGGACAGTAATCCCTGTTTCACGTGGTTGCTGTAAGGATAAAATGCAAGAAAAATCCCTAGCTTGCTCAGTAGACGTGAGCTGAAATTAAATCTGATTTGGGGCCAATACAAAAGGACATGAATACTTAACAAGATAGTCCTTCTATGCCTGGTAAGATGGATCCGAAGGCGGGTCCCCATGAAGTACACCCCAGCCCTCCGCCCCAAATATGCTGAGCAGGGGCGGCCTGAGAGCCTGCGTACCCCTCCAAGGTGACTGCTCCGCCGAAAACAGGCGCTCTTTGAATGCATACGGTTAAGTCTGTTCCAGAGACCCTCGGCTGTGCTGCGAGTACACGGCCATTGTAGAAAAGACGGCTCTATCCGCAGTAATGGTCTGAGGTCACAAGGACCATATTTGGAGCAGGGTGGGAGGCCTTCTCTCCACATGTGGCTGAGGTGTCGTCGGGCCCCCTTCCAAGCCCCCGGGTCAGGCTGGGTAATCCCGGCTCAGGTGTTTGGCTGTGTCCTTCCTTCGGCCAGGGCACAACCCTGGACGTGGGGCCCTCCCGCCCAGGCTGCAGCCTCGTGAAAGTCACGTTCTCTCTGCCCGTCCTCTCGGGCACTCTATGGTTCTCGTGGTGACTCTACTCTAATTCTAGTTCCGGTCTCTATGGCGGCGGCGGAGGCAGGAACGGTTGTAGGTCGGCCGAATTAGCCGCCTAAGAGCCAATGAGAGTGGAAGAGCGATAAAGTATTAGCCAGTAGAAGCCAGGAGTTGAGGTCAGGTGGTGAGATTGACAGCAACGCTGGCCAGTGAACGATGCTTAGGGCGGGTCGATCGCAGGGCTTATCCCGCCCGTCCCGCCATTCTCGCTAGTTCGATCGGTAGCGGGAGCGGAGAGCGGACCCCAGAGAGCCCTGAGCAGCCCCACCGCCGCCGCCGGCCTAGTTACCATCACACCCCGGGAGGAGCCGCAGCTGCCGCAGCCGGCCCCAGTCACCATCACCGCAACCATGAGCAGCGAGGCCGAGACCCAGCAGCCGCCCGCCGCCCCCCCCGCCGCCCCCGCCCTCAGCGCTGCCGACACCAAGCCCGGCACCACGGGCAGCGGCGCAGGGAGCGGCGGCCCGGGCGGCCTCACATCGGCGGCGCCTGCCGGCGGGGACAAGAAGGTCATCGGTGAGGGCCGAGCGGGGACGGGGGTGGGGCCGTAGGGCAGCCTGGCGGCGGAACCGTTAGCCCAAGCGGGGCGAGCCGGCGGGCGCGCGGCCGGGGGCACCGAGTCGGCGGCGCGCGGCCGCCCCTCCCCCAGGCCGCCCCACTCGCGGCCGCCGGCCCGCCCGCCCGCCCGCTCCGCGTGCCCGGCGGGCGCGCGCGCGCCGCCTCCCGCGCCCCCTGCGGACCCCGCGCGGCCGCGCGCCCCTCCCCCGGGCGGCTGCGCGCCGCCGGCCGCGTGTGCGGCGGGGTCCCTCCCCTCGGCGCCCGCCGGCCGCGTGCGTTGGGCCCGCACGCCGTTGTTCCGTCCCCACCCGCTCCCTTCCGCGTGTGCCCCGAGGGCGCGGCGCGCCTCCTACGCAGGCCGGAGTGGGCCGGGCCGCTTCCCCTTCCTCACGTGCTCGGCGCCCCGCGGCCGCACCCGCGCCCGCGCCCCGGCCGCCTGGCCTCGGGGCCTCGAGCTCACCCACGTGCGCGGCTCGGGCGCCGGCGAGCGGGCCCCGAACAGAGAAAGGCTGTCAGGTGGCCGCCGGGGAGCGCGGGAGGGACCGGATGCTGAAGCGTGGCGGTTTGAAAAAAAAATGGATGTCTGGTAATCGTGGGTTTTTTCTTCCCTCTTTCCAGCAACGAAGGTTTTGGGAACAGTAAAATGGTTCAATGTAAGAAACGGATATGGTTTCATCAACAGGTGAGATGACCGCCGCGGAAGCCCGGGCCCACGTCTTGCATGCTCCGCTCCCTCTGCAGGCTCGGGATGGCTCGAGCAGGTGTAGCTTGCCACCTCTGGTGTATTGTTGGTGTGGGTTTTGTTTCCTCTGATGACGGAAGGGATTAGTGGATGTAGAGATTCTTTGTTTTGCAGCTAAATATTAATCTGCAATTTAAAAGGCTGCTTATGCTGCAAAGCAATTTAAAAGGCAAGCGGAGCGAGCGAGCCAACTAACAGGGCGACCCGAGGAAACGAAGACCTAGTCTAATTCTCCTAGGCTTGGGCCCACCCCATTTTTGTCCTTGTCATCTTTTTATACATTCTTGAAACCCGTATTTGAGAATGTGACCCACTAATTAGTGCATAGGGTGTTTACAGGCTGTCAACCTTCGGAGGTAACGGGATTTGACAGTGCCAGGATGGGGAGCCTTGTCCTTTTGACTATAAAGTTATTGCCTTTGTTGTGACATTTCAGTGTGTGCTGTCTTGAATGCCTCGGATAAATTTCATGTTAGGACTACTTTGACAGCAGAGTTGCTCTTATTCGTAGAGTAACAGCTGGAAGAAAATGGTCTTTCCTTTTCTCAATTTTTCTTTCTCCTCTTGCCCTGAAGTTATACCTGTTAAATGACTTTTGTGACAGCTTTGGTTATAGCTTATTAGAGTGGCCTTAGTCTGCGATAACATTGTTCTTCGTGTGTGAAGGAGAAGCTACAAACTACATCCTTAGGATTAATCCTCAGGACTGTTTGTAGCCGTAGTGATGGTAACGCACAGGTTGCTCACGGCGCTCTTCAGTGGTCTCCTTGGAGCCGGGCATCGTTTTCAAGATGGCTGCCAGGGCCACTAGTGCAGCTACAGGGGTGGAGGGCACCGGGCTGCTGGTACCATGTGGGCCTTACAGGTGTGACACCATCTCGGCGTTTTCTTTCTTCCATATTTCAGAAGGCCTTAAACGACTAGATGTTCAAAAGAACACTTAAGATTAAGTAGTAACACCGCATGTTTGTGAAATGCATACCACTTCAGGAAACCAAATGGGCGAGATCAAGCTCACAGACAGACATAATAAAGTATTAAAGCAAAAGTGATTGTAAGTATTTGATGGTCCGTTTTCCACGTTTGCAGTTATGGAGAAACATTTTGTTTCTTCCAGAATCTTTAGGAATTTTCCATCTGTTTTTACACTGCCTTGTGACAAAGCTAAGGCTACATTTGTCATGTTCTTTTATAACGAGTTACTAATTAGGAGGGAAAGGAGTGCTTTGGTGCTTATATTTGACCAGTTTTTAGTTGGTTGATTGTGAGCATCACTTAGTATCTCTATCTTACTCTCATTCTTCTTCCTGTCCTAACCCTTAAACCAGTGGTTTTCAAATTTAAGTGTGCTAACCATGGAAGGGTATTAAAAATGCAAATTCCTGAGGTCTTCCTTCCTAGCTTGGATTCGTTGGGTTTGGGGTACATTTTTAACAAGAATTTCAGGTGATTATGACTTGTGGGCCATATCTTGAAAACCATTGCTTTTAACCCTTGACCCAAGATAATGATAGGATATTGCTGGTATGCGCATCAGAAGGGACTGTAATTTGCAGCTTTTTCCGTGGTTAGGTTGTAGTTTGTGTGTGCTTTCAACGTGTAGCATGTGCCCTCTGTTTTGCTGCATTTTGTTAAATGGCCATAGATTATGATATTTTTGAAGCAAACAGTTGATACTCGCAGTAAGAGGAGTTCTTTACATACTCCATTGTTATTGTATGAGATACCATTCTTTGAATATCTCTGTTCTGACTTGCAATCAACTCAGTTGGTCATCTTCCAGGGCAAGTTCAATGTACAATTAAATTGGCATTTGATGATCCTTTGTTTGGACTTTCCTAACCTAAACTTTTATATTTCTAAACTGGTCGTTTCAGTGATTCTCAGACTTTTTGAGTTAAGATACTGTAAAATCCGACTACGGTTAAGTCCAGGAAGATATATGTCTTAAAAGAACTACAGTTCTGGGGAGTTAGCAGTTGGCTCAGTGTGTGGACAGGGCTGGAGGCACCTGGCTCTCCTGAAGGGGTGGGGGAGCGGTCCTGTAAAGGAGAAGATGCAGTGTTTGCGATGATTACCTTGACACTAATTTTAAGCTTGGAATTCTACGAAGAATATATTCTAGATTCTTAAGATTTTTGTAATTAAAGTGGATATTTTAATGTAAATTTCTTGTCTTCTAAGAAACATATTTTCATTGTAAGCATTTCAATCTGAATTATCTGTGATAATTTTTATAGCCTTGGTAGAATTATTTTTTAAAGGGTTTTCTTTTGATAGTTTTATTGTATAAAAGGTGCTAAATTAAGAGCATGGAGCTTTAAAAATAGCAAAAATTTTGGCTTAATTTTGTTAGGCCATGTAATCTAGGAATTCTGAGGAATTCCTTTGTGTGCTGTGTCTGCAAAAGATAATTGGATTATGTGACTAGAAGGGTTTATTAGCTCCCCAAAATGACTTTTCATTTTATTATGAAAAACTTCACTCCAAACTATTGAAGACATCAATGGAAGGATACTACAGGGGTCAGTGGTTTCAGGGTTTCATTGTCTGCTTTTTAAATCTAGAAACCAGATTTTGTCTTTTGCTTCCAGCTGTTGAGGTTTAATCCATGCTCACCAGACTCGTGAAAGGTTGGCATGAATCAGTAACAACTTACTTTTCAGTGGGGTATGCATCTTTTATAGTGACCAGAATAGGAGTACTTTTCTGCTCTCCAGTGTACTTAAAATGCTAAATTAGTCATTCTAATATTTTGAGTGGGCAAGGAATTTGGAGCAAAGAGACTCACGTAGGACAGAGGTCACAAACTGGTGGCCTACTAGTTAAATCTACCCCCAGATGTTTCATTTGGACAGTACAGTGTCTTAAAAAGAATTGGAATTAATTACCGACATTTAAAACTCAGGAGATAATGCCAAAAATATCAGATTATCATCTTTTTTAAGATAAATTTTAGCTTTGGGGCCTGTAGTCCCATGTAAATAAAAATCAACTGGCCGTGTGTATTATTAATCACTTTTAAATGGGACATACATTTCCCTTTTTACCACAGTCTGTCAGGCTTAGTTTTCTCCTGATATTGACTGCCCTTCCTGCTTGGCCTGTGTATATGCATTTGAGTTTATTACTCATGGTTTAGGAAGAGGTATAATAAACCAAGCCAGGGAGAGGCTTAGCTATCCCTCTTTACAAAAATACTTAGTCATGGCTGTCACGTTCAGTCTCCCTTTTGGGGATCCCATGTGTATATAACTGATAAAGGTGACTTCCTTCACACATGGTGATAAAAGTAGCTAGTGTTTATTAAGTACTTGTACCAGGCACTATTGTAAATGCTTTAAATGAACAAATTAATTTTCAAAACTTTTGATGTGTGAGTGCTGTTCTGAGGCACAGAAAGTTTGGGTAAATTTGCCCCAGGAAGCATAGCTAGTAAGTTGCAGAGCTAGGATTTGAACTCGCTTTTCTGACTCTGGAGTTTGTGTTTACTAAGTGCTATTATGCCGTCTCTGAAAATAGACCCTAGTCATCTTCAAATTGATTGTTGTCCACATTGTTACAGATAATTTGTTAGGGTGGATATTCTTAGCCATTGAAAGATCTCCAGCATGTCACCGAAGCTCTTATGTGCTGACTACTAGTTCCCCAGATCTGAAAAGCTCTCTGCTTCTCACTGCCAATTTCATGTAGTTGGGGATTGGCATAATAGTTCCAGTTCAGCATGTGGATTGGCTTTATGAATTAAGGGACTTGCTTAATAGCTAATATTGGGAGGCAGTTAAGGAATTAAAGGAGGGAACGTTAGACCTTTATCCCACTTCTGAATCTTTTTACTTCTGTTCTTATGTGACTTGTGATTTGAGAATGGGTTTTGCCTTTTTAAAGGGTTGTTTAAAAAAGAAGAAAGAGCGGCTGGCCCCATGGTGGAGTGGTTGTTTGTGCTCCCCACTTCAGTGGCCCAGGGTTTTCTGGTTCGGATCCTGGGCGCGGACATGGCACCACTCATCAGGCCATACTGAGGCGGCATCCCACATAGCTTACCCAGAAGGACCTACAGCTAGAATATACAACCAAGTACTGGGGGCTTTGGGGACTGGGACCGGGTCGGGGGGGGGGGGGGGGGTGATGCTTGGCAACAGATGTCAGCTCAGGTGCCAATCCTTTTTTTTGAAGAAGAAGAAGAGGAAGAAAGAATAGCCACAGAGCCTGACCTCACAAAGCCTAAAATGCTATGTGGTCCTTTAAAAGTTTGTAGACCTGTGGAAAGATGATTGCCAAGTCTCTTGGGCAGTTAAAGTCAGACTGATCTTAAGTCATAGAAGTCATGGATAGTATACAACATAATTGACTAAATGTTGTCGTGCTGGGGAATGGTTAAAGACTTGGCAGTGTGGTGCTGAGGAAGAGATGGGGAGGAGGGAGGCATAAAAAGATAAAAATTTAAGTAGTCCCCAAGTCGTGATGTGTCATTGGCAGTCTTAAAAAGTACTATGTATTGAGAACTGGGGCTCTTAGTAAGACAGTGACTTGGCACTTTAGGATTGATTTATATTCTGGCTATGTTAACAACTGATCTTAAGTTGGGCAGAAGTCATCTGTGTTCGCCAAGTCTTTGATATGTAAAATCTTTTCATCTTAAAATCTAGAATAGAGAGCTAGTGTATTCACCTGTTTTTCTAGTACTTGGGGCTGTGGTTGCTTAGTTTCCTATACTCCAGTCTCAGCTCTTGGAAGCATCTACTATCCAGTTCACCTAAGGCAGAAGGGTAGAAAGTAGTGTAGGAAATGAGAGTGTATCTGTTGGGTGTGAGGAGTGTTTAATAGAGAACAAGTGAAAAGATAAGTGGGGTTTGTGATCTTAGGGCACATCTGCAGGACTCGATGTCTGGATGCTTTGGGTTCTGGAGCTTATAGATGCTAAATCCTGGAGTTTGTTTTTATAGCTATAGGATCATAAATTTATGCATTTGGGCATGTTAAGCTGTTGGAATGGCTTGGTGTGGTAATCTGCAACAAGGTAATAGCATAAGAGCATTTGGTTGTGAATGGATGAGCCTGTGTATGGTAGGTCTGTCTGATGGCAGTTCTGTGAATTGGCTAAAAATGTTTCGTAAAATTTTAGGATATCTTAAGACCCTTTTTAAGTTGGATATATTTAGTAGTATAGGGGTTTAGTGCTGGCTGCATGGTTTCCCTTCTTTGTGCTACATTAGGAACTCTTGAAGAGACTTCCATTTTCTTTCAATCCCAGCAGGGTTTCTTCCTCTTTCTTTAGCATTCCTCTAACTTAGAACGGTGTCCCCTTTTCTCTTCAGCCCCTTGCTCTGTGATTCCTTTTTCCTTGAAGTCAGTATTGTGTCCTCATTTGCTGAATAAGAACAATACTGTATTTCTAGGTAGGTGAGAAAATCTTCCAAGTGTGTTTTTCATTAAATTTTCTGCAGTAAATAGTGTCCTTATTAACATGGGGTAGAGTAGAAGAATACAACCGAAAGAGTACACTTGATTGCAGGAGACTGGGAGGGCTGGCATGTGATAAACAGAGTGATGGCTGATGGAGTAGTGTAGACCCATGCTGTCCAGTACAGTAGCCATCAGACACATGTGCTTGTTGAGCACTTGAAATTTGCCTAGGGCACTTGAGAAAATGAATTTTTATTCTAATTAGTACCTTAAAACTGATACTCAATTTAGTGTTTTGAACCACTTTTTGAGTAGCTTGAGTGTGTGAATCTAGTTTTCAGAAATGTGAAATACTTCAGTTTTTTTATTGATTATACATGTGGAAATAATGAAATTAATTTTACCTGTTTTTACTTATGGCTACTAGAAAATATGCTTATATTTGGCTTGTATGTTGTTTCTTTTTTATTTTTGAGGAAGATTGGCCCTGAGGTAACACCTGTGCCCACCCCCCTCTATTTTATATGTGGGGTGCTGCCACAGCATGGCTTGATAAGCTGTGCGTAGGTCCACGCCCAGGATCTGAACCGGTGAACCCCCGGCTGGCCCCGTATATTTTGTTTCTATTGGACAGCAGTTCTGGGCACCAGACTGCAAGTGAAATAATTGTTTCAAGTGGCAGCAGTATGGATAGGCTTGGATTTGAATATAGTGTGGCTTTCACTGGGTTTAAAAAAGAAATAGTGAACACATAATAAGTGGTTGCTGTTATCCCCAACTTAACAAATAAGGCAACTCGCCTAAGAGCATGTCATGACTAATGGGATAGCCAGGATTCCAGTTTTGGCTCCACTGGTTCTAGTAAGGAGTTCTTAACTGCTGTACTCTACATACCACCTGCTCCTCTCTCTGATTAGTATGGCTAAACATACTATAATATGCAGAAAACCATATTGGTCATTCAGCTGCTCTGTTGGATTGAATGGTGGTGGCCTTCTAGATTAAAATCCTTGAGGATAGGTCATGTCTTATTTTTATTTCTGGTGCTTAGCATAGTAGCTAGCTGGCCAGCACAAGAAAATACAGTCATTCATTGCTTAAGACAGGGATACGTTCTGAGAAATCCATGGTTAAGGAGATTTTGTTGTCATGTGAACGTCATCTAGTGTACTTACGCAGACCTAGATGGTATCGCCTATTACACACCTAGGCCGTATGATACTAATCTTATGGGACCGCTCTCGAATATGTGGTTGTGTGTGCAGTCTATCATTGACAGAAACATTATGTGGTGCATAACTATACTCACCTTTATTTTAAAGGGATGAATGAAGCCTTTGGATTTGCTATCCTTTCATTGTAGGCCCACTGGCTTGTGGCAGATTTTGGAATAACTAATAAGATGGAATAATGTGAAAGAATAGCTTTTAGAACAGTAAAAGGTGACGGTAATTACATTTTAATTTTAGAAACTGGCCTAGTATTAAGTGAATAGTAGACGCTCAATAAATATTTTTAAAATGTGAGAACCCACCATGTTCCTACAATATGCTGCGTGCTAGGTGAAAGTATTTTAATTGCTGCTTTTCCTTCTTCAGTAAGATCTCTAGTGGCCACGGCATGCATTTTTTCCAGTGTTACTGTAGATCAGGGGTCAAAAAACTACCAAGTCACAACTGGTTTGGTTTGGTTTGTGAGCTGAGAATGGTTTTTACATGTTGAAGGGTTGTGTGGGGGAATATGTAGCAGAGCCCTGGTCTCATCACGGAATAACTGTGTACTGCAGGCAAGGGTATAGGGATCCTTATTGCTTGTAGTCTTTTCAGAAAATTGGAGAAACCATATGCTGTTACCTACTTCTAAAGCTAAAATGGAAGGATTTCCAGACTGGTCCTTTTTGAGTTTTCAGCATAGTGAAGACCAGGGCCTGGAGAGTCAGACCTACCACTGTGAGGAAATGACCACATACTTTATTTTCCCAGTTTATAGGATGGGGGTTGATAATAGCATCTGCCTCAGGATTGTGAGGATTGAGTGATACAGTTAAAGCATGTGGCACAGTATCTGGAGCTTAAACCCTCTATAACGTAAGCTGCTCTGTGTCTATTTCGTTTTTCCCATTTTGCAGGTGAAGAAAGGATCCAGTGAGGAGGCAGCTTTCCAGCATCAGAGAATTGTTAACAGTAGAATGAGGGCTAAAAATTTGGTTTTATGTTAGCATTTCCTTGAATTTCTGGGTAGTCATTTGACAAATTGTAACTAGATCAGTGTAATGCATCTAAACCATAGTTGTCTATCTTGGCTGAAACTGCATTTTCTGAGCAGTCGAATTTCTTCCTAAAATTCATTTACACTTTGGCCATGATAATCCCTAGTAGGTTGATTTAGTTTCAGCAGAATAAGTGAGTACTATGTTGTCTGGCATGACATCATTAGTGAGTTTTTGTTTAGTGTTTGTCTCCATAAAGCATCTCCCTAAGCTGCTTTCCAGGGATGACTGTCTCATGTATTGCCTACTTTGTACTATTTGTAAAAAGATTGTCCTGACTAAATAAGTAGTTTGGTACATTTTCTAATATTCCTTTTATAACCTTGAAGTACCATGTTTGCCAGGTGAATAATGTGGATACTGGTGGTGTCCATGTTTATACTTCATTATGGTTTTTTCTTTTTATAAATTAATACTTTATTTTTAAGAGCAGTTTTAGGTTCGTGGCAGAATTGAGCAGAGAATACAGAGTTCCTGTATACGACATGCCCATACCCACGTGGCCTCCCCTGCGATCTTACACCAAAGAGATATGTTTGTTACAATTTACATTGCCATGTCATTGTCACCCCAAGTCCATAGTTTATGTTAGGGCTCACTCCTGGTGTTCTGCATTCTTAGGGGGTTTTAGTGGTCACTTTTAGGACCTCAAGAAGAGTTGGGAATTGGAAATGGTGATGAGGAAATGATTGAGGACGAAGTGAAAAAGAAGGAAGCTGGGAAATAATGGAAGGAAATATAAAGATAAGGAGTGACAAGACAGCTGTTGCTAGTCACTTCTACCCTCTTAATAGCTTAGTTAGGTCACACTTTGATTTTAGGCTTTTTTTTTTTTTTTTTTAATCTTCTACAGGTAGTGAGGTTACAACTGTTGGCAACAGCTTAGTCTTTAAAGCAGAAATCATGATGGCTTACTAGTTTTGTTTTTAATCTTTGGCACTGTGAAATATATTCCATTTTCTAACTGGTTCAACTTGGTCCTGTCTTGCAGGAATGACACCAAGGAAGATGTATTTGTACACCAGGTGAGTGCTCGTGTGGATCTTTACACTTCCAGCTCAAGGCCTCTCAGAAGAAAAGGGTGGATGTCTTCTCAACTGTTGTTCTTTGCAAAAAGATTATTAAGCCCAACCACCAAAGAATTCATTTAGTTCCCACAGGAAGAGTGGTAGCATGCTTAAATGTATACATTGAAACATTGTATTGTCAGTTCACTTTATTAAAATAGGTGTTTCAAATTGGTATTTTGTTAATAGTTGTAGCTTTGTAAAATATTGAATCTGCTTAACTCAGTACACTGAATTTTCAAACCTAATTTAAGATTAACAAAAAACCGCCATTAACCTAAACTTGAACTAATGTTGCTATGAACAGACAGAAACTTTGACGAGATATTTTCAAATGCTATTAGGTTTACCTCTGGTGAGGACAGATCACAGTAATCAGGAGGGAAATAGCTAGAACAAAGCTGGAAAACATTAATCTGAAATGAATGCTAGAAAACTAGCAAAGTAATGTAGCTCCTTCTCTTTATTGTAAAGCACTTTGAATGGGTAAGATGTTTTTACCTCTGGAGAATTTTGGCTGACTTGGAAAATTTAGAAATCGCCACTAGTTTATGGTTAAGTGAAAAGGCAGTGTGGCAAAGTTGGCAATTAATCACTAAATAATTTTTAGATTAGCTTTAGTGTTTTGAGAGGGAAAAAATAACATAGGGATAGCTACTACGTGCTGAACTTTCTCAAATACCATTTAAGGGAAATATTTTGAAATACGCTTGAGGGTTAAGGAATTTATTGTTTAAAATAAGAGATTGCCAAATGAACGCTAATATCGCAAACTTAAGTATATCATAGGCTCCATTGGACTTAATTACCCTCACAGTTATGCAGTAGGTAGGAAAAACACGTTTGTATGTGTGTACTTACGTGCTCTGCAATTTTTTCATAAGACTGTTGAACTACTGTGTTGAAAATCAAAACTTTTAAACCAGGTTTTTATACTGTAATCCAGACATCAAAAGACAGTCACTTTCCACACCATACCTTTGTTCAGGCAGGTGCGAGCTTGCATGGCAGCATACTTCTTAGGAAGGGCTGTCTTGGGTTGGTGCTTTGTAGCTCTCTGAAGTGTCCTCTACAGCATTCAGTGGCAATGAAGGGGAAAGCCAGATCAATTTCTAGTATGTCCAGAACCCTATCAGATAATAGCAGTAACAAATACAAGTATGGGAACATTTAAATTCATCACATAAATATAGGACTGCTCAGACGATGTTATTTTAAAGCAAATGTTTGTTTTATAAAATTGAACCAATTTTTACGTGTTCCTTAACTTCCCTTCTGATGTTCAAGGGAATATGTAGACTTAGGAACAAGAGACAGCAAGGCCTGTCAGCAACACTAAAAGGTTTGAGGAGTGTGGGGGAGGGCATTGAGGATGCTGACCGAAATAGTAGTTTTGGGATTTTAATTATCCAGACTTCTGCTATCCCCTATGACTGCAGGTAATTGAGAGGTGGCTATATATGAAAGGTATGAAAACTTTGTGACAGTTTAGATGACAGATGAGATCAACTGTTTGGCTGAACGCATGACACCCACTTGTACTGACCCACAAGTTGTCACCAATATGCTTTCCTCTTTATTTTGGAAGTGGTTTCAACATTTAGTTGTTTCTTGGGACTTTTGGCTGCTCAGGTCTTAGTGGTGTATCAAGGAGACTGCAGTTCTGGGCAACTTAGCTTAATTGACTTCAGATTTGTTGGTTGTCCTGCCTCCTCTGGAGTGGAAATGCATGGGTGATCCGGTAATGAATCCCACTGTGCTGTAGTAGGATGAACATGGGGTTTGCAGTCCCAAGACCTGGATTTAGAAAAGTCCACACTCAGCTGCTTATTAGCTGCACGACCTTGGGCAAGTCACCTAACTTTTAAAAGCCTGTTTTATCATCTGTTAAAAAGGAGTAATAATACCTCATGTCATCTGTCACAAGGAGATTGAATAGGTAATATATGAAAGAACTTAGTGGAAGTACTACACACAAATGTGAGGTGTTATTCTTCCCCTTTTACTTGGTTGTAGCAGTCTAGAGAACAAGTAACAATGAGACTTATTGTATTGGGGGAGGTAATAACCAACTGTCCCATGCAGTCAGAAAATATAAAAAGTGACACGGTTAATACATGTGAATTGCACTTCCATTGAAGTATTATCACAGGTTGGAAGGGATTTTGGTTGACCTTTGCAATTGAGTTGGATATGGTACCACAGGGACAAGTTGGTTTGGTCAACTTTGAAGCGTGCAAACCTCAACTCGCCTGTCATCTAAACTGGCCCTGTGTGGGGCTAGCTTCTACTATTAAGTGCAGTCTTTGGGGGATAGGTGGATATCCTCATTTTGTTCAAAGCTACACATAATGCTTTTGCAAAAAGCATTTTTTAAAAATGTATATTGTTGTGTCTGTCTTGAGTGTTAAATTATTTGTTTTAGTTTGGAAAATAGTGGTAAAATGCTGGGGCCTTGTAAGATTGGAGTATTGTGGTTGAGGTTGGGGGTAGCATTGGTCCCTGTTTTCCTAAATTTATTGACGGTTTGGTCTTATTAAAGGTAAATTTAAGTATTGTATCCAAGCTAAAATAATATTGACTCTGGTACATTTTAAATGAAAAAGCACATTATTCTCCCCTGTTAATCTATTTTTGGAATGTGATATTACTAGACTGCCATAAAGAAGAATAACCCCAGGAAGTACCTTCGCAGTGTAGGAGATGGAGAGACTGTGGAGTTTGATGTTGTTGAAGGAGAAAAGGTGAGGATGCTTTTTGTGTAAAGGTTTGACTTCAGTATGGCAATATTGTGGAGATCTCATCCGTGAGGATGGTGGCTCTAATGTGGATTGATGGCTCAGGTGACCACATGAACACAGGTGCATCAAACCTAATGTGCTGGCTGCAGTTAGAGGGCGATCTCTTCAGAACAGTGAGGAACTAATAGTTAATCATTTCTATGCACCCCTGGCCACATAGACTCTTTTTTTGTTTGTGTTGTGTAAATTTGGTTAAGTGTACTTAATTCCATTGTCACTGTCAATATATGATGGCTTTTGTAGGGTGCGGAGGCAGCAAATGTTACAGGCCCTGGTGGAGTTCCAGTGCAAGGCAGTAAATATGCAGCAGACCGTAACCATTATAGACGCTATCCACGTCGCAGGGGTCCTCCACGCAATTACCAGCAGAATTACCAGAATAGTGAGAGTGGGGAAAAGAATGAGGGATCGGAGAGCGCTCCCGAAGGCCAGGCTCAACAGCGCCGGCCCTACCGCAGGCGACGGTTCCCACCTTACTACATGCGGAGACCCTATGGGCGTCGACCACAGTATTCCAACCCTCCTGTGCAAGGAGAAGTGATGGAGGTAAGTCTCACCAGAAAGTAAAAGGATGGACAACAGCATGTGGTAACTTTTGATAGGACTGCATTTTAAACATTTCCTGGGTGTCTTCCCCTATATTGGATTAATCTTACAGGAAGCACTTTTTGATTCCTAATAACCAGAAATTTAATGACTTATAATCACAGTTATTAGGTGATTTCCTTTATTTACTTTTAACTTCTGTATTTAGACTTTGGGTTTGTCTGGTTGGGTTTTTACTGTTACTGATCCATTTGGCTCAATGTGCATTGTCTTTTCAGGGTGCTGACAACCAGGGTGCAGGAGAACAAGGTAGACCAGTGAGGCAGAATATGTATCGGGGTTATAGACCACGATTCCGCAGGTATGGTTTTCATTAAAAAATTTCTCCGACATCTGTTAGGACTTGGTCGCGTCGTCTCCTGCTGTCTTTTTGAGTCATTTATCAGTTAGTGCTCACATTTTCTTTCAGCAGATGGCTAAGGTGAACCTGAAGTCAGTTGTCTTTGAGAGTATGTTCTTTGCATCTTTGCTGCTTGTGTAGATGAGCTCTACTTTATATACAGTTGTTGTTCCTCCCCCTCTAATGAGGGTATGGAATTAAGACCTGCTTCATTGGGAAGGAGAAAGGTAAAAGTAATCTTTTAAGCATTAGGCTCTGAACTGCACCGTATCATAAATGAAGAATCAACAGAGTTTTATCTTTGAGATGGCACAATTTTTCATTAAACACTTCTTAGTGTAAGTAGGTACTTTTTTTGTCACCCTAAAGTTGCAAAGTGAAATCACTCCATTAAGAATTTACATTTTGGGAAAAAGAAACCCAATTCCATATTAGCCTTAACCAACCAACCTACCTGCTTGGGTATTAGAGAATCCTTTTTAAATGGAGGATGTTTAATGATTAGAGTATAGACTAATTGGGGAAGAGCTCCATGAGCCAGACATGTTTAGTACATAAGTGTAGTGCACCATGATGCAGTAGTCCCAGTCCCACACTGGCAGGATGGAATAGTGTGTACAGGTAATTCTTGAAAGGGTCTTATATCAAAGCATTGAGTCTCTACAAGTGATCCCTAACGGTAACTGGTAATATACTCAAAAACCCAATACAGTAATAACTCTTCTTAACTGATAATCGCTTATGTAGCAACCTTCACTGTAGATGTCCAAATAAGTTTTAAGAAACAAGTTACTGGGGCCAGCCCAGTGGCATTGTGGCTCGTTCCATGTATTCCACTTTGGTGGCCTGGGGTGCACGGGTTTGGATCCTGGGCGCAGACCTACACGCCACTCATCAAGCCATCCTGTGGCGGCATCCCACATACGAAAAATAGAGGAAGATTGGCACAGGTGTTAGTAGCTCAGGGCCAATATTACCAAAAAAAAGAAAAACAAGTTCCTTACTATAAAAGTACCCAAAATACAATATAGAAGTCTTCAAAATACGTTGAACTGTAGAAGAGAGGAGGTTTCTAACTACAACTTCTCTGTTTTACGAAAATGAGCACTCAGTGGAGCTTTAGGAACTAGGAAGCCCAATTGAGATTATATTACCTACATCAGTATATGTCTGTTGAATTTTTTGCTGAGGAAGATTAGCCCTGAGCTAACATCCATGCCAGTCTTCCTCCACTTTATATGTGGGTCACCGCCACAGCATGGCTGACAAGTGGTATAGGTCTGAGCCTGGGATCTGAACCCTTGAACCTGGGCCAGCAAGGTGGAGCGCACTGAACTTAACAACTGCACCACAGGGCTGGCCCTTGTATGTTGAGTTTTGCAATAGCCATGTCTGTGATGTATTTTTTCCTTCTTTCCATTGATGTATGTTCTGTCCTGAGAGTTTCTAATTCATGAAAACGAGCTCAAGTCTTAGCTGATGTTCACTGAAATTGGAGTTCTCTAATACTGGAGCCACCAGGAGATTGTGTTGGCTGTGTGCTGGATGTTGGAGATAGATGAGCTCTTCCTGTTGAGTGAGGAAAATTATTTTTCATGCTGACAGATTGTTAGGCTTTGTTGATCTTGAACTGAATTATGGTTCAAACTGTTTTAAACCTAAACATAGATACCTTGCAGAAATATTGCAAATAATATCACAATAGCATTTTTTAAACAGTGTTAAATGTTTTAAAGTTGGTCTAAGATAAGCTTTCATGGCAGTCTATCCATTACATCCATGGGTGCCAACAGCAGAATCCTTGATTTACCTTTTTGTTACACTGTAGAACTGCTTAAATTTTCTGCCTAGTTTCATTGTGTCCTTAAAAATAGCACATGAATTTTTGTTGAGTGCTTCAGTTTTACTGTTTGCTTTTTGATTTAAGTTAGACTTCATAGTCTTCATTCGAATGGATAGACTTGTTGACAGTGCCAGATAACTCCTATGGTGACATAGAATTGCCTTAAAATTTACAATGATTCTGTCAATGAATGCAGGGCTTTCCAGACCATTTATCCAGGAATTTTTTTGTTCAGTTTGAATAGTAAATGACACATATTGCCTATAATGTGTAGGCTGAAGTCCTGATTGGTATAGGTCCAAGAGCAAATTGAAAGAGATCTGAGGCAGGTAAAGCAGGAGTTTTGCTGAAAAAAAAGACAAATGAGGTGGCACTAAGGTAAGAGTGGCTTCAGGAAAGGATCCTTATTTATGGGAAATGAGAGCATATTTGTAGGCTCAAAAATGCAATAGAAGAGGACAGTTGGCAGGAGAGTGACTGCTGGAACTGTCTTCAGTTGGGATAGTTTTGTCCACAAGTAAGGGTTGGCCTTTCACTAGGAACCATGGGCATTTCTTGTGTAAGAACCCGGAGTATGTGGGCCGCCTGTGTGTTAGTAAAGTCAAAAGGAGAGGTAAGAGAGGAAGTTTGGAGAGTTTGGAACAAAGATGTGAAATTATATCTGTAAAAGAAGAATAGGGGAAATCAAATAATAGAGTAGTAATCACAAATTTAAAGTGCATCCACCCAGCATGGTTGTATTTTTCCAGCCGCTTTGAGTAGCAGGCTCAGATTGGGCAGAGAGTTGGATTTGTCCTGCATTTGTTTACCCAGATGGAGATACTGGGGTTGGGATTGGTTATAATGATAAATGGTGAACTTTATACTTACATAAGGGGGGAGGTAAGGATTAAGGGAGTGTGAGGGACAGGCTGGGTGATAGGATCACTGAATTATAGGTCCTAGTGGAAGTAAAGAATGAGAGAACAAGAAGGAATAAGAAGGGCTGACTGGAGAGTGGAATGCTTGAAATTGAGCAAACTCAAGTAGAAAACAAGGACCAGATGGGAGGCCAAGAATCTAAAAGCCTGGGTTATTTGGGGCTGTCGTGATAACGACGACAGGAAAATGATGGTAAATGACACACAGCCTAACGTAAGATTTGAAAGCTTGGGGTTTGGACAGAAATGGGGGGAATGGTCTAAGAAGCCACAGTGATAGGGATGGGGCAGCTCCATTCGTAGGCTGCAGGAGAAAGCCAGAGCAGTTTTGCCAAAGATTGGCCATGAGTTCCAAAAAAATGGGAAGGTTTCAGGAGAAGGGGAGGGGTTGGAATGGGTAGTTGGGAGATTGGAGGATTTAGAAGTGAAAAATGGGGTGTACAGATCTAAATTGGAATTAAAACCTATGATGACTGATAGGTTAGGTATAAAAGGCATGATGTTAACGTTCGTGTTCCTGGGGTGCTGTGATTATGGATGGAGGAAAGGCCAAGAAAACGTCACTGTTTTCTGATGTTTGTAATCACCAGGGAAAGAAATCGAGTGTCTTTTTCTCGATGATTAAAAAAGTTGTGATCTTTTTTTGGTGCTGGGTTATTTTTAATTTCAGGCCATTGAAGATAATATATTGATGGAATGTAACACTTAAGCTTTTTTCATGTGTGCAACTCAGTGGCTTTTAGTATACTCAAAAAGTTATTCAACCATTACTGCTGATTCCAGACATTATCACCCACCTCCCCCCAAAAAATATCCATTAGCAGTCACTCCCCATTCCTCTCTATCCCAGCCACTTGCTTACACTAGGCTACTTTCTGTCGCTGGATTTGCCTTTTGTGGACATGTCATATAAATGGAATCAAAATATGTGGCTTCTTTATGTGCTTAGCTTCTCTGGCTTAGCCTGTTTTTAAAGTTCATCCACGTTGTAGCATGTATTGGTACTTGATTCCTTATTATGCACAAATCATGTTCCATTGTATGGGTATCATGTTTTGTTTCTAAATCAGTTCATGAACATTTGAGTTGTTTCTAATTTTTTTGTTATTAAAAATATTATTCTATTGGGTATAGACCCTTGAGTGAAATCGCTGGGTCACATAGTAACTCTTCAAAATTTGGAGGAGTTTCCAAAGCTGCTGTGCCATTTTATATTCCTGCCAGCTATGTATGAGGAATTCCCGTTTCTCCACATCTTCACTGACGCTGGTCATTTTCCGACCTTTTGGTTGTGGCCATCCCAGTAGATAATGAAGTTGTGTCATGGGTTTTGATTTGCATTTCCCTGATGATTGACTAGCAGTTGCTGTGTACCGTCATTTATATGCAGGGGGGAGGGCGTCTTTTTTTATTTTGATTTCTTGCCTTTTTAGCAAGTGTTCGTCTCCAAAGGTTAGCAGTTGTTCCCAAGCCATAAAGCCATTTTACTTTACTTTTAATATTTTTTTATTTTATTTCATGTATTTATTTTTTGTGAGGAAGATTAACCCTGAGCTAACATCTGTGCCCGTCTTCCTCTACTTTATATGTGGATCACCACCACAGTGTGGCTGACGAGTGGTGTACATCTGTGTCAGGGATGTGAACCCAGGCCACCAGAGCTGAGCGTGCTGAACTGAACCACTACGCCATGGGGCTGGCCCCAAGAGCCCATTTTAAAATAACATCAGAGTTTGATGGTGTTGTGCCCATTTTAGTCATTTCACGATTAACTTTGTAATAGAGTATAGTGTGTGTAAAAGTTTGCTAGTCCATTAAAACCAGATTTAAATGCTCATCTTCCAGTTAACACTTCCAAATACTTGTTTGTGAACTATGAACCAAGTTTGCTCTATGATTTCTACTAACTTACTTGCAGACCACTTGACAGGAAGGTCAGATATGGTGTTTGGTTGAGTGGATCAAGTGTTAATGGGTGGGCTAAAGAAAGAAGGTTTTATCATTGCAAGATTGCCCAATATTCATTCCAGGGGCCCTCCTCGCCAAAGACAGCCTAGAGAGGATGGCAATGAAGAAGATAAGGAAAATCAAGGAGATGAGACCCAAGGTCAGCAGCCACCTCAACGTCGGTACCGCCGCAACTTCAATTACCGACGCAGACGCCCAGAAAACCCTAAACCACAAGATGGCAAAGAGACAAAAGCAGCCGATCCACCAGCTGAGAATTCGTCCGCTCCCGAGGCTGAGCAGGGCGGGGCTGAGTAAATGCCGGCTTACCATCTCTACCATCATCCGGGTAAGTAAGCCTAGGTGGCCTTCAGGCCTCTGAGCAGTCTTGAGTGGTATGCATTAAGGCAAGAGAAAAAACCCAGTCCATCAGGTAAGGTAAGCTGTGTTTACTTACAGTGTCTTCCGCCTGAATTAATCTCACAGTTGCTTAAATTCTGCCTTTTGGTAATGGCCAGTATCAGACCATTCTTGGCCTCCAGTCACCTCAGTTCTTCTACCTGGAGGCCTGTCTTCACGTTGTGTCTTGAGTATTAGAGCCTTCTGTCAACCTCTCTGAGTGAGTTTGGTGATTTCAGTACATTATCTTCAGGGAAAGTGGCAGCTTTGACATCGTATCATCAGTTCCAAAATTAAGGGATTCCTTTGCTGTCAGCCTTTACTTGATACTGAGAGACATGTAATTGTCTCTGCTAGGCTCTTGAATTATCATTTTCAGCCAGTAGTTCTTTTCGTCTTTTCCCTCTATACTATTTGTGGGTGGCGAAAGGTCATCCAGAACCTGCAAGTAACCGTTGTTGTCACACAGCAGTGTCCACTCCTCTTGTAAATCACTGCCTTCCCTACTTAGCTAATGTGAACTGGAGCCATGTGGTGTCCTAAGAGAGCATTGCAGTGAACTGTGCGAGATAACCTTTGTTTTGTTTTTCTTTACAGTTTAGTCATCCAACAAGAAGAAATGAATATGAAATTCCAGCAATAAGAAATGAACAAAAGATTGGAGCTGAAGACCTTAAGTGCTTGCTTTTTGCCTGTTGACCAGATAACTAGAACTATCTGCATTATCTATGCAGCATGGGGTTTTTATTATTTTTACCTAAAGATGTCTCTTTTTGGTAATGACAAACGTGTTTTTTAAAAAAAAAAAAAAGCCTGGTTTTTCTCAATACACCTTTAAAGGTTTTTAAATTGTTTCATATCTGGTCAAGTTGAGATTTTTAAGAACCTCATTTTTAATTTGTAATAAAAGTTTACAACTTGATTTTTTCAAAAAAGTCAACAAACTGCAAGCACCTGTTAATAAAGGTCTTAAATAATTGTCTTTGTGTATATTTCTGTATTGTTTTATTTTCGTTTATAAATCCTTGGCTGGTGGTAGGACCCTTAGCTTAGACCTGTCTGCAGATAGATGGTACTCACTGGTAATTGCTCAGGGAAATTTTCTTAAAATGTGTAATTCTTCATTAAGTGACGTAACTATGGGCTCGTGCTTAAAAATTGGAAAATATTTACTTACTGTGATAATCTAGCCGTTGGCCTCTTTGTACGGTCCTTCTGCTGGGAGGCAGTGGTAAAGGGGACTGGATATGCTCCAGCAAAGACCAGCTGGATTCTCATCCCTGGAAGCCACTTTTTTCTGTCTCCGATTTCAGCCCGCCAAGTGAAGGCAGGCATCCACCTTAGAGCTGTCAGGTGCCTGCCATGGAGCCTGGCGTCACGGTCACTAGAGACGGTAACAACATAATGTAACACCTGTGGAAAGGCTACAGACATTGAGATCAGTGAACTCAGCTCCTTTGTAACCTAAGCCTGTTCTGGCTATTCTTTTAAAATGTCTCCTTAGATGCTGTTTGACTCCCTTTATGGACTAGTCTGGCTGCTGTCCAGAGACTCATTCTGGGTCATTCAGGCCAGCTTTTGTGGCCCAGGGGAAAGATGATGGGATGTAGAGTAGGCTGGAGTGGCACATCCAGGAGTCCTGCAGTGCTGTGTAAGTCCAGATGGTGGTGCCACTTCCCACAATGTGCTCAGGGTTCACAGAACCAAGACTGCATTTCTCTGTTTATTTCCATTCTAAGGGACTGGTGAATAAAGTGGGAAGGTAATACACAAGTAGGCAACACTCTTTCAGACTTCTCTTTCAAATTTGAGACAACTCTTTGCCTTTCATGAAAATATATTCAGTGTAAGCAAGAGTACAGTGGAACAAACACTTAAACACTGCTGGTGGCGTGTAAAATGTAGCAATTTTTGTAATTGCACAAATTCAGATATATATCATGGAAATAGAAGTGCCAACAATATTGGCTAAATATCCAATAGTGTTAAGATGTGATTTTGAAAATCATGGCAAGGAGGCAGGTTTTGTGATACAGTCTTGCTAATGTTGCAGGCACAACTACCTGTGCATTTTTTTCCAATGTGCTTCCCCTGTGTTGCCTGGCACTTTCTGAATTCCTTCACTGTGTGTAAGAATTAGGTAGCCTGCGAGTCTCTGTAAGACGATCCAGAGAACACAGTCTTTCTTGCAACTAGAAAACAGGTTGAGAACCTGGTTGGCCAGTCAGATGCACCAGCGTGAGACTGGAGAAGTCAATACTGTTTGCTAGAGAGGAGGGTGGAAGCAGCACTTTGTAGCTGCAAAGGCTTTGGTTTTCTCATCCGGCAACCTGCCTCTTAGTTTTTGACATTTAGCCTTGACCCTGGTTCTCTAGCCTTAACAATTATGAATACCTAATTCTTTTATAAGATGACCTATGTGGCTGGAGCAGAGTGAGCACGGGAGATTGGTGGTGAATTAGGTGCCATCACATCAGGCATGTGAAGTGTTCTGTTCCCTTTAAAATGAGGAAGAAAGTGAGGATGCTTTCTATCACGGTTTCTGTTGAACACTGCACAGGAGAGCCTGGGCTGCGTGGTGAGAAGGATTGGGAAGGAAAGGAAACATAAATGATAGTGGTAACAAAACCCAAGAGCTTGCAGTTAAAGAATGGGTAATTTATTAGTAAATGGCTAAAACATTCCTGTATAATAATAGTAAAAAATGTCTACTTTGTGGTAGTAGTATGGGAAAGTACTAACACTTTCAAACTCTGGGAGGAAGCAAAACTATTGAAAGACATTAAGGAAAATTGGAGGTTTTCGTGCTCATGGATATTGAGGTCTGAGCAAGTCAATTCATCTATTGGTTCAAATTAAGTTCAGTAAAAAATTCAAAAGGTCTTTTTTTGGTGGAGCTTAGAGAAAGGAGAAGGAGACGTTGGAGGTCTGGAGAGAGGGAAGGATGTGAAACAGGTGTCTTGGAGAATGGGAAAACAAATGTATAGGGAAGTAGAATTGCAGCAGGAGGAGGGGAGGGTTGGGTTTCACCAGGGCTTTGCCAGAGGGAGAGCGAAGGTATTGAAAGTGAATGCATACCAGGGTAGAGTTAAAGTCCCCAGGTCCAGATATGGAACCTGATTAGGCAAAACCAGTAAGAGCTTGGCATTCTCTGGTGCCTGGAGTTGATCTGTGAGTTGGCAAGTGTTCCAAACTGACAGTGGAGTAGAAGTACTAATTTAGGGGAGCTGGAACAATATGGGGTGGTGGTCCCAGACTGGCATGCTTAACCTTGAGATGTGGTGCGCTTACTGGTAATGACAAGGTTTAGGTTATGGTCACGTAAGTGGAAGGCAGGAGGAAGAAGAGACGATACTGGAGAAAAGAGGTAAAAAAAAAAAAAAAATAGACCATAGTGTTCAAAGGATCTTCTCTATCGGTGCTGAAATTACCACAAGTGATGGTAGAAGTAGTGGGTGTGGGGAAGACAATGATGGTGACCCTGAAATAAAAATCTTCACGGTTGGGCCGGCACGGTGATGCAGCGGTTAAGTGTGCACGTTCCACTTCGGCGGCCCGGGGTTTGCCGGTTCGGATCCCGGGTGCAGACATGGCACCGCTTGGCACGCCATGCTATGGCAGGCATCCCACATATAAAGTAGAGGAAGATGGGCATGGATGTAAGCTCAGGGCTAGTCTTCCTCAGTGAAAAGAGGAGGATTGCCAGCAGTTAGCTCAGGGCTAATCTTCCTCAAAAAAAAAAAAATTCAAGGAATGCTGCTGGGTAAGACATTTAGTCTGAAGACATGGGCTTAAAGGAAGCTGGGGGTTTTGAGGGCTTCCAAGGGAGGAAAAATGGTTTAGACGTGGCAATGGAGTAACCGGAGACCTAGTTCACCACCAGGCACCATGGTACTTGGCATTCAGGAGAAGAAAAGCCACAACTGAAGGCTCCAAGGGTACTAGCGTCCTAGGGGTGAGTCTGGTTAGAGGTAGAGTAAGAAGATGAGAGGGAGGAGGCTGGTGACTGAATTCCAGAGCACAGGGTGGAGGTTTTGGGAGGGAGCAGTGTTGGGTCAGAGTAGGAGTTGGAGAGAGAGAGCTAAATGGAATTAAGGTAGTAACAGCTGATGGGGAAGCTTGAACATCTAGTAGAGACTGATACACAGAAGTGATAAGACAGCATAGGCTCGGTGGTCCTAAGGTTCTCTGGAAGGATTCATCTGACACTATGGTGGTGAGGCTGGAGGCTGGCTTGTGGCTGGGGAAGGAGCAGTTACCTTAGGAACTGTGCTGTTCCTGGCTCTGAGTGGTGCCCTAGGTAGAGAGCCTGCTTGCATCCCTTTAATTTGGCTACCTGTTTATAAAGGCTATAAATGATACAGGATAAGGGGACAGAGTGTTAACTTGCACCATATGTACGTATCTGAGTGATGTTTTAGCTCTTAGAGGCTCAGGCAGCTAGCTGTACAGCCCTCCACTTTAATTCTGTCTGGGCTAAAGAACTAGTGGTAGAGAGTCTGGAGTATTTTAAAATAGAATGATTTTCATTTTGGAAAGATTACTATGGGGCAAAAGAAAAGTTTGATCACAAAAGAAGTGACCAATTTGGACATTGTTGCAGAAGTCCAGATAAATGGTGAGACCTGGACCATAGATGTGGCAGTAGGACAGAGGGGGTCACATTTGAGATGCTTTCAGAAATGGAGTTGACTGATCTAGGTGACTACCTGAGTGTAGGGATGAGGAAGAGAGAAGAATCCAGCATGATGGCAGAATGCTGATGCAGATGGTACCATTTGCTGGAATAGAGAATGCACAAAGGAGAGGGGTATGGTCAGTTTTAGATGGATGGAATTTGAGGTGCCTGTGGGACATCCATGGAGAGTTTGCAGGAAGCAGATTTGGGGCTTAGGGAGTAAAGTGTAGACCAAAGCTGAATTTTTGACACTCGTCATGTGGCTATTGAGAGTTGTGGTCATGGATGAAATCACATCACTTGAGTATATGTGGAGAGCAGAGGGTGGAAACTCAAAACTTGGAACAAGAACATAAAAGTAAAAGTAATGGCCGGGAAAAGATGTGGAAAATCCAGAAAAGGGGACATCAGAATCCTAGAGAACAAGGAAGGTAATGGTTCAGTCGGCATCAGAGTCAAGAGATCCAAGAAGGTGAAGGCTAGAAAGTGTCCATTGGGCTTAGCAACAGGGAGAGTGATGGAGCCTCCCTGTGGAAATGTGGGGCTGGGCCCCCGGGTGCAGCAGGTGGAGGGGCGACTAGGGCTGCAACTCCCCCACCCTCTGCATCTCAGTAACAGCCCGTCTGTCCTTACAGGTCCCAGCCAAAACCTTCAGAGTCAATGCTGACTTCTCACTTCACTCCACATCCAATGAGTCTGCAAATGCCACTGATTCTGCCTTTGAAACATCCAGAGTGTGACCAGTTCTCATGGCCTCCAACCCTCTGGGTCCACACCTCCATCACCTGGGTTATTGTAGGCGTGAGCCTCCTAGGTGAGCTGTCTGCTACTTCATTCCCACCCCACCCCCCCCCCCCCCCCCCCCAGTCGCTTCTCAACATAGGAGCCAGGGTGTCGTCTTAAAAACTTTGTCAGGCTTTCGGTCACTTCTCTGCTCAAAACCCTGCAGAGGCTTCCAGTTTCACTTTTGAGCAGAAGCCAGCGTTCCTACAGGAGCTTCACAACGTGGCCCCACCTGTCGCACTCCCACTTTCTACTGCTCTCCCCCTCATTTACTCCACTCCAACCTCACAGCCCGCCTTTTCCTCAAACGTGCCAGGCACACTCCCACCTCAAGGCCTTTAACTGGCTTTGGCCTCTTGATAGGAAGACTGTTTCCTTGGATGACTAAATGGCTGTCTTCCCAGTTCTTACAGATCTTCGGCGAGGAAGTCAAAGACCTCCTTCCCTGACCATTCTAAAATAGCAGCCCTTGGGGCCGGCCCCATGGCGCAGTGGTTAGGTGTGCACGTTCTGCTGCTC